TATGAACACCTTTATATGAATAAACTAGAAAACCTAGAGGATATGGATAAATTTCTGGAAATACACAACCCTCTTAGATTAAGCCAGAAAGAAACAGAAACTCTAAACAGACCAATAACAAGCAGCAAGATTGAAATGATAATAAAAAATTGCTAACAAAATCAGAGTCCAGGACCAGATGGATTCACAGTTGAATTCTATCAGAAATTCAAAGAAGAATTAGTACGAATCCTATTGACACAATTCCAAAATATAGAGAAAGGGGGACTCCTCCCTAAATCATTCTATGAAGCCAGTATCACCCTAATACAAAAACCAGGAAAAGACATAACCAAAAAAGAAAACAACAGACGAGTATCCTTGATGCAAAAATATTTAATAAAATACTATACTAGCTAACCGAATCCAACAACATATCAAAAAGATAATCCACCATGATCAAGTGAATTTCATACCAGGGATGCAGTGATGGTTTAAAATATGCAAGTCAGTAAATGTGGTACACCACATAAACAGAATTAAAAACAAAAATCACATCCTCATCTCAATAGATGCAGAAAAAGCATTTGACAAAATCCAGCATCCCTTTATGGTTAAAACTCTTAGCAAAATTGGCATACAAGGGACATACCTCAATGCAATAAAAGCCATCTATGACAGACCCACAGCCAACATAATACTAAATGGGGAAAAGTTGAAAGCATTCCCTCTGATAACTGAAACAAGATAAGGATGCCCACTTGCACCACTTCTCTTCAACATAGTACTGGAAGTCCTAGCCAGAGCAATCAGACAAGAGAAAGAAATAAAGGGCATCCAAATTGATAAGGAGGAAGTTAAACTGTTGCTGTTTGCTGATGACATGATTGTCCACCTAGAAAACCCTGAAGACTCCTCCAGAAAGCTCCTAGAACTGATAAAATAATTCAGCAGTTTCTGGATACAAAATTAATGCACATAAATCAGTAACTCTCCTACACACTAACAGCAACCAAGGTGAGAATCAAATCAAGAACTCAACCTCTTTTACAATAGCTGAAAACAACAACAACAACAAAAAAAACCGCTTAGGAATATACCTAACCAAGGAGGTGAAAGAACTCTACAAGGAAAACTACAAAACACTGCTGAAAGAAATCATAGACAACACAAACAAATGGAAACACATCCCATGCTCATGGATGGGTATATTCAATATTGTGAAAATGACCACATTGCCAAAAGCAATCTACAAATTCAACACAATTCCCATCAAAATACCACTATCATTCTTCACAGAACTAGAAAAAACAATTCTAAAATTCATATGGAACCAAAAATGAGTCCACATAGCCAAAGCAAGACTAAGCAAACATAACAAATCTGGAGGAATCACATTACCTGATTTCAAACTATACTATAAGGCCATAGTCACCAAAACAGCATGGTACTAGTATAAAAATAGGCATGGAACAGGATGGAGAGCCCAGAAAAAAGCCAAATACTTACAGCCAACAGATCTTCAATAAAGCAAACAAAAACATCAAGAGGTCAGGCATGGTGGCTCACGCCTGTAATCCCAGCACTTTGGGAGGCCAAGGCAGGCAGCTCACTTGAGGCCAGGACCCTGGCCAACACGGTGAAACCCCATATCTACAAACAGAACAAAACGAACGAAAAAAAAAAACACAAAGTGGGGAAAGGACACCCTATTCAACAAATGGTGCTGTGAAAATTGGCAAGCTACACGTGGGAGAATGAAACTGGACCCTTATCTCTCACCTTATTCAAAAATCAACTCAAGATGGATCAAAGACTTAAATCTAAGACCCGAATCCATAAAAATTCTAGAAGATGATATCGGAAAAACTCTTCCAGACATTGGCTTAGGGAAAGATGTTATGGCCAAGAACCCAAAAACAAATGCAATGAAAAGAAAGATAAATAGATGTGACTTAATTAAAAAGCTTCTGCACAGCAAGAGAAATAATCAACAGAGTAAACAGACAGCTCACAGAGTGGGAGAAAATCTTTGCAAACTATGCATCCAACAAAGGACAAACATCCAGAATCTACAAGGAACTCAAATCAGCAAGAAAAAACAATCCCATCAACAAGTGTGTAAAGGACATGTATAGACAATTTTCAAAAGAAGATACACAAACAGCCAACAAATATATGAAAAATGCTCAACATCACTAATGATCAGGGAAATGCAAATCAAAACCCCAAGGTGATACCACCTTATTCCTGCAAGAATGGCCATATTTACATATATGTATATACTACTTTAAGTTCTAGGGTACATGTGGACAACGTGCAGGTTTGTTACATATGTATACATGTGCCATGTTAGTGTGTTGTACCCATTAACTCATCATTTACATTAGGTATATCTCCTAATGCTATCCCTCCCCCTTCCCCCCACTGCACAACAGGCCCCGGTGTATGATGTTCCCCTTCCTGTGTCCAAGTGTTCTCATTGTTCAATTCCCACCTATGAGTGAGAATATGCGGTGTTTGGTTCTTTGTCCTTGTGATAATTTGCTGAGAATGATGGTTTCCAGCTTCATCCATGTCCCTACAAAGGACAAGAACTCATCCTTTTTTAAGGCAGCATAGTATTCCATGGTGTATATGTGCCACATTTTCTTAATCCAGTCTATCATGGATGGACATTTGGGTTGGTTCCAAGTCTTTGCTATTGTGAATAGTGCCACAATAAACATACTTGTGCATGTGTCTTTATAGCAGAATGATTTATAATCCTTTGGGTATATACCCAGTAATGGGATGGCTGGGTCAAATGGTATTTCTAGTTCTAGATCCTTGAGGAATCGCCACACTGTCTTCCACAATGGTTGAACTAGTTTACAGTCCCACCAACAGTGTAAAAGTGTTCCTATTTCTCCACATCCTCTCCAGCACCTGTTGTTTCCTGACTTTTTAATGACTGCCATTCTAACTGGCATGAGATGGTATCTCATTGTGGTGTTGATTTGCATTTCTCTGATGGCCAGTGATGATGAGCATTTTTTCATGTATCTGTTGGCTGCATAAATGTCTTCCTTTGAGAAGTGTCTGTTCATATCCTTTGCCCACTTTTTGATTTTTTTTTTTTTTCTTGTAAATTTGTTTGAGTTCTTTGTAGGTTCTGGATATTAACCCTTTGTCAGATGGGTAGATTGCAAAAATGTTCTCCCATTCTGTAGGTTGCCTGTTCACTCTGATGGTAGTTTCTTTTGCTGTGCAGAAGCTCTTTAGTTTAATTAGATCCCATTTCTCAATTTTGGCTTTTGTTGCCATTGCTTTTGGTGTTTTAGTCATGAAGTCCTTGCCCATGCCTATGTCCTGAATGGTACTGCCTAGGTTTTCTTCTAGGGTTTTTATGGTTTTAGGTCTAACATTTAAGTCTTTAATCCATCTTGAATTAATTTTTGTATAAGGTGTAAAGAAGAGATCCAGTTTCAGCTTTCTACATATGGCTAGCCAGTTTTTTCCTAGCATCATTTATTAAATAGGGAATCCTTTCCCCATTTCTTGTTTTAGTCAGGTTTGTCAAAGATCAGATGGTTGTAGATGTGTGGTATTATTTCTGAGGGCTCTATTCTGTTCCATTAGTCTGTATCTCTGTTTTGGTACCAGTACCAGAATGGCCATAATTTAAAAATCAAAAAATAATAGATGTTGGTGTAGATGTGGTGAAAAGGGAACACTTTTATACTGTTGGTGGGAATGTAAACTAGTATAACCATTATGGAAAACAGTATGGAGATTCCTTAAAGAACTAAAAGTAGATCTACCATTTGATCTAGCAATCCCACTTCTGGGTATCTACCCAGAGGAAAAGAAGTTATTATATGAAAAAGACATATGAACATGCATGTTTATAGCAGCACAATTTGCAATTGCAAAAATATGGAACCACATTAAATGCCGATCAACCAATGAATGGATAAAGACAATGTGGTATATATATACCATGGAATACTACTCTGCCATAAAAAGGATGAAATAACGGCATTTGCAGCAACTTGGATGGAGTTGGAGACCATTATTCTAAGTGAAATAACTCAGGAATGGAAAAATGAACATTGTATGTTCTCATTTATAAGTGGGAGCTAAGTTATAAGGATGCAAAGGCATAAGAATGATATAATGGACTCTGGGGACTCGAGGGGAAGGTTAGAAGTGGAGTGAGGGATAAGGCTACACATTGGGTGCAGTGTACATTGCTCGGGTAATGGGTGCACTAAAATCTCAGAAATTGCCACTAAATAACTTATCCATGTAACCAAATACCACCCGTTCCCCCAAAACTATTGAAATAATAAAAAAGTATATATAAAAATAATTCAAAAAAGGAGATTGGTCTATATCTATAAAAGATGGATGTATCTTTTCATCATCTCCTCTTATCCTTTTTATTTTCTCTTACCCTCCCCTCATCTCTTTCTGTTATCTCTTTCTTCCTTATCCTACTCTTTTATTCCATTCTTTATCTCTCAAATATTCCTTTATTCTATCTTTCCATTCTTTTAGTATTCTTGTCCTCATAGAGACACTCTGAGACACTATTTTAACCCTGGTGATGATTCTCATGGTTTGATGTACCTTGTTTAAAGATGAATAACACTAATAATTAGGAAATGCATTTTCAATTGTCTGATACTGAGTGTCCTATAAATACCTCAATTCAACTGTATTTCAAAGATTTTTCTTCATTCTGCTTCCCCTGCTATCCTTCTCCCTGTTTTTAAAAATTGTTTTTTGACAGTCATATAAGTGATAAACTTCTGGTTTACACTTTGGTAGCTCCCTCCCTTTCACCCACCACATCAAATCAGTCTTCCGCACATATGTGTGGTTCCCAGGTAAGGCCCTTATCACCTGTACCTTATTAACAGTCTCTTAAATTATTTATCTCTGTCCCCAGTTTTTCTCTCTCCAATATGTCTTACTCTTTGCTTTCACAGTAGACTAGTCATTATCTACAGGATAAAGGTGTCTTAAATGCTCACCAGTCACTGGCAGGTGACTCTTCAGGTCCTTGATTTCTTTTTCTTCGAGTCTGAACCCAGTGTTTTGTAAAACACTCGTTAGGTCATTGACATTAACCTGCCCTCCTTCACAGAAACAAGAAAAAGTAGATAAGGATGTCATAAAATGAAAAATACATACTCTCAACCCCTACTCAGAAATGAAAGCAGAAAAGCTATTTACAGCAAGTCAAGTGGGAGTCAGGAACAGACTATGCTTCCAAAATTAAACTTCTGGGAGAAGTTTATATTGAGGAGGAGAAGTAAAGAGTTTGGCATTTCTGATGAATTAGACAGAGATAACAACCAAATCACGTTATTCTGTCAAAAAGTAAGATTTGAAACTTGCTACAGTAATAATAAATTATCTCCCAAGTGTAATTGTACATAAAGGAGGACTCCAGTCAATGGGGGAAAATTACTGAAAACTATTGGTGTAGTTTTAATCAAATCATTCTGAAATATGGGGATTTAAAAAGAGTCAATATATATTTCAGATAAATTGAATAATTAAATGTAAAAAGTGAAATAATAGAAAAACAAAGAAAACTAAGTATATGTGATTCTTCACATACTGGTTAGCTTGTAAAGGACTTAAAAGTCAATCACAGAAGAAATGACTGATAAAATTAAACACATAAACATGAAAAGTGGCCATATATCAAAATACAACATAATGGATAAAAAGTGGATTTGTAGTTGCCTAGGTCTGCAAGAGTTGGCGGGTATAAGTAGTGACTACTAATGGGTATTCAGTTTCTTTCTGCAGTGCTGAGATATTCTAAAGCTGATTGTGGTGATACTGTACAACTCTGTTAGTGTACTAAAACCCACTGAATTATATATTTTAAGTAGGTTAATTGTATGGTATATGAACTATATCTCAATAAAGCTGTTGTAAAAATACAATAAAATAAAATGCAGATGACGAATTGGGAAAATATTTACAATAGATATGACAATGTGCTAATGTTTAATCTATAAAGAGGTCATTTATATTAATAGAAACAATGTTTGGACTCTAATAGATTAAAAGATATAATGATATAAAACATTTTTTTTCTGAAAAATTTTTTCCTTTTTTATGTATGTTTTTAAAAATTTTTTTAAATTTTTTAATTTTTTTTTTTTGAGACAAAGTCTCGCTTTGTCACCCAAGTTGGAGTGCAGTGGCATGATCTTGGCTCACTGCAACCTCTGCCTCCTGGGTTCAAGCTATTCTCCTGCCTCAGTCTCCTGAATAGCTGGGACTACAAGTGTGTGCCACCATGCCCAGCTAATTTTTGTATTTTTAGTAAAGACAGGGTTTCACCTTGTTGGCCAGGCTGGTCTCGAACTCCTGACCTCATGATCCATCCGCCATGGCCTCCCAAAGTGCTGGGATTACAGGTGTGAGCCACCACGTCCAGCTTAAATCTTTTTCTTGCCCTGTCTTATGGTCCTGATCAAAATTTTCTATGAGTGATTTTACGTATATAATTTGTTCTCTAAGTAGATTATAAACTCTTTGAAAGTAAGAACTATCGGCCAGGCATGGTGGCTCACACCTGTAATCCCAGCACTTTGGGAGGCTGAGGCGGACTGATCACCTGAGGTTGGGAGTTTAAGACCAGCCTGACCAACATGGAGAAACCCTATCTCTACTAAAAATACAAAATCAGCTGGGTGTGGTGGCACATGCCTGTAATCCCAGCTACCTGGGCGGCTGAGGCAGGAGAATCGCTTGAACATGGGAGGTGGAGGTTGCAGTGAGCTGAGATTGTGCCATTGTATTCCAGCCTGGGCAACAAGAGTGAAACTCCATCTCAAAAATAAATAAATAAAGAAAGAAAGAAAGAAAGAAAGAAAGAAAGAACTATCTTCTGCTTTGTGTAGCCCCTCCCCCACCACACTCCCAACACTATGCCAGTCTGTTTGATGAATGAAAAAATTCTCAAATTAAGCTTTCTTTTCCATTAAAGAGAAAACAACCACTATCCTTGTGAGAATTCCATGATTTAAATATAAAACAATTGATACGGTTTGGCTGTATCCCCACTCAAATCTCATCTTGAATTCCCACGTGTTGTGGGAGGGACCTGGTGGGAGGTTAACTGAATCACGGGGGCAGGTCTTTCTCATGCTCTTGTGATAGTGAATAAGACTCACAAGATCTGATGGTTTTATAATGGGGAGTTTCCCTGAACAAGCTCTCTCTCTTTGCCTGCCACCATCCATGTAAGGTGTGACTTGCTCCTCCTTGCCTTCCACCATGATTGTGAGGCCTCCCCAGCCACATGGAACTGTAAATCCATGACACCTCTTTATTTTCTAAATTGCCCAGTCTCAGATATGTCTTTATCAGCAGCATGAAAATGGACTAATATAAAAATACAAAGCTGATTTAAAAATTGTTTTTATTTTAATATGTTTTTTGAGACAGGTTCTGGCTTTGCCATCCAGGCTCACTGCAGCCTCAAACTCCTGGGCTCAAGTGATCCTCCTGCCTCAGCCTCCTGAGTAGCTGGGACCACAGCTACATATCACCAATATAAAAACATTTTCAACTTTATTGATAACAAAAAAATCAGAACAATAATTAGATTCATTTTTTCATCAAATTAATTCAAGTTTTTCATCCATCAAATGAACAAGAATAAAAAATATAAAAATAAAGTACTGTGGTTAGGGCATGATGGTAATACTATGTATGGAGGTGCAAATTCCTGCTGGAAGAATATATCCAAAGAAAATGACTTTAAAGCTGGATCAAGATTTATGTATGAAGATCAGAGACATATAAGAGAAAAACACTAAGTAAATGTTCAACAAGAGAAAAATGATTAAGTAAATTATAATACAACTAGATGATGTAATTATTAAAATGATGTTTACAAAGAAGTTTTAAATAACATGGTGAAATTATTACACTAAAATTTTAGGATTAAATGCAGGACATATAACATTTCTAGTAAGAGTTTAATAATACATATATATGCACAGGAAAAAGATCAGAGATATCTGTAACAGAAAAGGTAACATTACTTGAAATTGTGGGTAATTACATTTTTTTCTGTATGCTACTATATATATTCCAGATTATTCTCAAATACCCAGCATCTAGTAGACACTTGAGTATTTGTTGAATAAAATGCATAATTTTCTGCTTATTTATGTAATCAGAAAAAACCAATTAGAACAATCTTAAATATTATTGTCCTTATCCTTTTCCTCACTTACCTCTGAAGGATTTCACACCATCCAATAATTCTTTCTTAAACACCTTTTTATCAGCTGTAGGATAAAACATGATTAATAATGCTTTCAGAGATTCATAAAAATTAAAATATATACTTACAGGAAGGGAAAATTTAGAAATTTGTTACAATTCAATCTCAATGAAATGAAAGATATTTGCAAAATTCAGTGTAGTGAACCTATCCACTGGATAGAATACAAACTATTGTTAATAGTGCCCTACAGTGCTGTACTACACATAGCCTTTCTTTTCTTGCTTTCCCCTCTCTAATTTACCTTCATCTTTTCTTTCTTCACCTTTTCTACCCCTTCTGCTCTTACTTTTTTTTCAGTTTATACCTTAAGTCTTATCTTTTTCCTAGGGCAAAAGAAATTGTCTTATGATAGGACTTCTGACTGAAGAGGTTCATGTTTCCTAAACCAATATAATAATAATAGGATTTTTAGAAATGCTAGGACTGGGCCTTTTAAAAAACATTTTTAATTGACACAACTGTTTCAAATATTAGAATTTCTAACACAAAACCTTAAAACCAACCTCTTTGAAGTTTTCAAGAGGGTAAGGACTTGGAGAATCAGACATGGTCCCTGCGCTCTCAGGTTTTAGATAGTGCCACATAGACAATGATCTTCAGTAAGTGTTGAATGAATATATTTTTAGACATCAGTGAAGCAGAATACATGTAAATGCTTACCAGAAACTGGCAGAGTTTTCAGAAGCTTTTTGTGCTCCTTATTTGTGATCTCTATTCCCATGTTTTCCAGAACATTTTTCACATCCCCAGCATGAATCTTCTCTCCTTTAGAGGAAGGGAAATAGTCATAGGTGAGAATATAAGAATTATGTCATATTTTATATTATGACATTATAATTATGTATTAGTCCATTTTCATGCTGCTGATAGACATACCTAAGACTGGGAAGAAAAAGAGGTTTAATTGGACTTACAGTTCCACCTGGCTGGGGAGGCCTCAGAATCATGGTGGGAAGTGAAAGGCACTTTTTACATGGCGGCGGCAAGAGAAAATGAGGAAGAAGCAAAAGCAGAAACCCCTGATAAACCCATCAGATCTTATGAGACTTATTCACTATCATGAGAATAGCATGGGAAAGACTGACCCCCATGATTCAATTAACTCCCCATGGTTCCCTCCCACAACATTTGGGAATTCTGAGAGACACAATTCAAGTTGAGATTTGGGTGGGGACACAGCCAAACTATATCAAATTATATACAACATTATATGTAATTATAATCAACATATAACAGAAGTAATTATGATTAACATATAACATTATAACTACATATAACATTATATATCATATATATGTACCTGTGTTTGTATATATATAATTATATATAATGTGTGTGTGTGTGTATATATCTAATCCTCAGCTGCTGGGGGAAGAGTAAAGCACAGTAAAAGCTTGTTTAGCTATTTATTTAATTATTTACTATTTTGAGACAAGGTCTCACTCTGCCATCCTGGCTGGAGTGCAGTTGCACAATCACGGCTCACTGTAGCCTTGACCTCCTAGGCTTAAGCAATCCTCCTGCCCCAGGCCCTCGGAGTAGCTGGGACTACGGCGTGCAACAGCACGCAGGGCTAATTTTTTGTACTTTTTGTAGAGATAGGGTCTCCCTGTGTTACCCAGGCTAGTCTTGAACTCCTGGACTCAAGTGATCCAAATGGCTTGGCCTCCCAAGGTGCTAGGGTTACAGGTGTGAACCACTGTACCAGGCCTTGTTTAGCTATTTAGAGTCAAGGAGGGGAGTCAGAAATTTTTCTTTTAACCTAAGTAAAATAAAATCTCTTACAATGATAAAACAATATCATATCATAAGTAAAATAGAAATTGTATAATTTTTCAATAATTTGGGAGCTGTTTCATGGTTAATATAAATAATTTGACTACTACAAGAACACCACTACTTTTAATTTTCTTTTTCTTCTTTCTTCTTCTTTTTAGTCCTCCCTATCCCCTTCCCTCTTGTTCTTTTGCCTTAATTATGGGGTAAGTTAAAAATGACAATAAAATCTGACTCCTTGTGATATATTTCACCTTGAGTGAATTTACATTTATATAATTACGTTGTAAACTTGGGAAGTCAGGGATCATATCTTTCTCTCAAAATCTAGCATAATGCCTGGCACATAGCCAATGATCAACTAAATGTAGAATGAGTTAATTAATTGTTTGAATGTCAGCAAAGCAAAATACATTACTGATTGAAACTTCAGAGAGTTCATTCACTTGATCATTACTGAGTGTTTACTATGTGAATAAAACAAAATTTTTGAAGGGGTAAAACTGACATTGAAACTGCTCAATATATAAAACATAATTAGGCCAGGTGTGGTGGCTCATGCGTGTAATCCTAGCACTCTGGGAAGCTGAGGTGGGCAGATCACTTGAGGTCAGGAGTTCGAGACCAGCCTGGCCAACATGGTAAAACCCTGGCTCTATAAAAATACAAAAATTAGCTGGGTGTGGTGGCATGTGTCTGTAATTCCAGCTACTCAGGAGGCTGAGGCAGGACAGTCACTTAAACCCTGGAGGCAGAGGTTGCAGTGAGCAGAGATCGGGCCACTGCACTCCAGCCTGTGTGATGGAGGGAGACTCTGTCTCAAAAAAAAAATCATAATTAACAAGCAGGACTATGACTTTTTTGGCAAATATTATTGCAACATTTACTAAAATTGATCATGTTTTAAGACAAAAATTTAAATCTCAACAAATTACTCGAAGGCAAAAAGTATATTAGTCATATTCTAATTATAATTTAAAGTCAGCTGGGTGTGGTGGCTCACACCTGTAATCCCAGCATTTTGGGAGGCTGAGGCAGCTGGATCACGAGGTCAACAGATTGAGACCATCCTGGCCAACATGGTGAAACTCTGTCTGTATTAAAAATACAAAAATTAGCTGGGCGTGGTGGTGTGCTCCTATAGTCCCAGCTACTTGGGAGGCTGAGGCAGGAGAATTGCTTGAACCTGGGAGATGGAGGTTGCAGTGAGCCAAAATCGTTCTGCAGTCCAGCCTGGTGACAGAGTGAGACTCCGTCTCAATAATAATAATAATAATAACAATAATAATAATAATAATAAAAGTAAAAATAAAAGAAGAAAAAATGTAAAATCAATCACAGAAACAGTTTTAATAAATCCTCTCTACTTGGAAATTGTAAATAAAATACTTTAAATAACTGCTGAGTTAAATAAGTTGAAAATGAGATCATAAACTACTTAGAAATTATGAACACAACTTCTGTTTCCAGCAAAACAATAGAGTAGGACATCCTACTTGCTACAAACATCTAAAATGGATTTAAAAATGACAAAATAATTGTAGATGGATGGCTGAGTTTGTCGGAAAGAAAGAAAAATTTTTGGTTTCAGAAAATAGAGAGGGTTTTAAGAGTCAGGTTGATATGTACTCAATTTTTTTTGTCTTTTTTTTTTTTAAATTAACCTTTCCTATGGTGCTGAGATATATACTCAATTTGATGTGAAGATAATCCTAGTGGGTTATCTGACCAGATTTGGCAACAGCTTTGTTTTAAGGCCCAAGCATTCTTGGGCACATGATAGGGACACAGATTTGAAATACTGCATATTTAAAGCCCATTAAAGAGGCTGGGCACGGTGGCTCACATCTGTAATCTCCAGCATGTTGGGAGGCTGAGGCAGGTGGATCACTTGAAGTCAGGAGTTCGAAACCAGCCTGGCCAACACTGTGAAACCCTGTCTGTACTAAAAATACAAAAAAAATTATTTCGGTGTGGTGGCACATGCCTGTAATCCCAGCTACTTGGGTGGCTAAGGCACAAGAATCGCTTGAATTCAAGAGGTGGAGGCTGCAGTGAGCTGAGATCATGCCACTGCACTCCAGCCTGGGTGACACAATGAGACTCTGACTCAAATAAATAAATAAATTAAACCCATTAAAGAGAAAGAAAGGGCATAGATAGAAGCACAAGAATAAGAAATTGAGGAAAAGAACAGGCTAGTGTGCAAAAGATATAAAACAATATCTAGAAATAAATTGTTATTGGCATTTTCAATAAACAGTGTGAGATGGAGTTGTAGAGAGAATTAGTGAACTGGAAGAGAGATTTGAGAAATTCTAAAAATTAGGAGAACAATATAAAAAGTGGAAAATATGGAAAAAAGATAGGAAAGACAGAATAAGAAGGTCCATCATATACATAATGGGAGTTTCTAAAAGTAAAAGAAAAAGAGAGGTAATATTTGAAACATAAAGGCTGAAAATTTTCAAGAATTGATGAAAGGCCTGAACTTTTAGTTTCAGGAATCACAAGTCTTGAGCAGAAAATGAAAATGAAAATGAAAATAAGTGTATACTTGGGGACATTATAATGAAAACTTCAAAGATAGAGATAATCTTAAAAGTTACAAGAGAAAAAGTAGCTATTAATAAATAATTAAGGCTGGGTGTGGTGGCTCACACCTGTAATCCCAGTATTTTGGGAGGCCAAGGTGGATGGATCACTTGAGGTCAGAAGTTTGAGACCAGCCTGGCCATCATGGTGAAACCCCATCTCTACTAAAAATACAAAAATTAGCCAGGCATGTGGCTTGTGCGTGGAGTTCCAGCTACTCAGAAGGCTGAGGCAGGAGAATTGCTTGAACCTAGGAGGCGGAGGTTGTAGTCAACTGAGATTGCACCACTGTACTCCAGACAGCAAGACTCTGTCCTCCTCCAAAACAAACAAACAAACAAACACACCCAATTAAGACAGTTTATTTTAACAGCAAAAAGAGTCCAGAAAACAATCAATATATGAATACATTATATATAGTGTGTGTATATGTATGTGTCTATATGTGTATATATGTGTGTGTGCACACGTGCACATGGTATATATTTTCTTTTCCTTCTTTCCATTTTTAATTTAAATATTAGTTTTGGGCCGGGCGCGGTGGCTCAAGCCTGTAATCCCAGCACTTTGGGAGGCTGAGACAGGTGGATCACGAGGTCAGGAGATCGAGACCATCCTGGCTAACACAGTGAAACCCTGTCTCTACTAAAATATACAAAAAACTAGCCGGGCGTGGTGGCAGCGCCTGTAGTCCCAGCTACTCGGGAGGCTGAGGCAGGAGAATGGTGTGAACCCGGGAGGCGGAGCTTGCAGTGAGCTGAGATCAGGCCACTGTACTCCAGGCTGGGCGACAGAGCGAGACTCCATCTCAAAAAAAAAAAAATATTAGTTTTGTCATAGGTTAACTTTACAATTTAGACTTTAGGTAACAGAATATTCAGATAGCGCTGTTGTAACTAAATTTTGTAAGTAATTAACACAGCTCAGAGATAGTATGACTATCTCCCTGAGATTGGACTGTTGGAACTTTATTTCTCTTCATTCTGTGGAAAGGGTGAGAAAGAATATCTTCATTTATATGAAGAATAGTTGTATCTTATTAGGTGGAAACAGAGTTTTTTTTTTTTTGATAAATAGAAGTTCAAATATTTGTAGAAAGATTGTAGCGCCGAGATGGCGCCACTGCACTCCAGCCTGGGCGACAGAGTGAGACTCCATCTCAACAACAACAACAACAACAACAACAAAAAGCATCATTAGTTTCTAGAGTTCTAAGATAGAATGACAATCTACAAGTCTAGATTCAGTCAAACTATGATTCAAAGATGAGTGTAAAATAAACAAACTTTTAGACAAAGACTGGCTTTTGTTGATATCACTAAGAAGGATGAACCCACAAAGGACTAGGAAGGTAAAAGCATCAGTGAGTAAGGAAAGCTTTAAGTGTATTTACATCTTGCAGAAGATTGGCTTTAAGTTACTCTGTTCTTGCTTTTAATATACTCACTTGACAAAATCCCATTGCTGGTTAAATGCAAGTCTCTACTACTCTGTGCCTGCAGCCATGTAGCTAACTAGAACTAAAGCAAACTATGCTGACTGTCCTCACTTTACATTGATGATCGTGAACCTCAAGTGGGTCTTTAATGCCCTGGAGCAATCATACTATACTTTGCTGGTTCCTTAATTTTCCTACTCTTCTTTACAACTACTTCACACCTTCCTTCCTCTTTTCAAACCACTATTTCCTCTTCTTTCACTTGATTACTACTTCATCTCTTTAATCAAAAAAAGAAGCCTTCTCTTACCACCATTTTCACCACTTTACTTATCCCCTTATTCCACTTTGCTCTCTTTTGCAGTGAAACGCCTTAGATATTCACACAGTTTCTAAATCCTATCTTCCCATTCTTTCAGACTCATTCCACTTAGGCTTCTTTCCATCTCACTACCTGAAGTTTCTCTTTTGGATATCACCAGTGAACTCCGTGTGGCTATATGCAATTGTCAATTCTCGGTTCTCATGTTACTTGACCTATCAGCAGCATTTGACTATTGATTTGCCTTCTTGTCTGGTAACTGTAGCAGATGCTATAGATGCCCTGCTCATATCCCCTCATATCAATGCATGCTTGTTCACTTTCACTTTCAGTTACTAGTATCTCTTTGTCTGAGGGATTTCTTCAGCTGCCAGAGTCCACACTGCCTATGCTTAGATGGGTAGAAATGCCAGCAGAATAATACTGCTTTCCCCTCCCTTAAGCATTTTTTTTTTTTTCCGGAGACAGAGTCTTGCTCTGTCACCTAGGCTGGAGTGTAGTGGCGCGATCTCGGCTCACTGCAAGCTCCACCTCCCAGGTTCACACCATTCTCCTGCCTCAGCCTCCCGAGTAGCTGGGACTACAGGCACCCACCACAACGTCCGACTAATATTTTTGTATTTTTTTTTTAGTAGAGATGGGGTTTCACTGTGTTAGCCAGGATAGCCTTGATTTCCTGACCTCGTGATCTGCCTGCCTCGGCCTCCCAAAGTGCTGGGATTATAGGCGTGAGCCACCGCACCTGGCCCCTTAAGCAGTTTTTAACCAATGACTGATATGAGTTGGTGTGAAAATAACCTAGCTCTATTACCCCTCTCTTGAGGCCATGTCATTTACCAGATATTCCCCAGTGCGATTAAGCTCCAGTTACCTGCAATGGTAACTTGTTTGATAAACACTTTATTGGCTGCTTTTATCTATGTCTCACTTCTCTGCTCCCCTGAGCTCACTTCCCAAGCAAACTACCTGTATATGTAATCCTCATTTCAGGGTTTGTTTTCTGGGGGTACCCAACTTAATCTTCCTCATCTGGTTTTCAGGGTACCTTATTATCTTGGTTTTCCACCTACATCACTGGCTACTCCTCATCTTCAGCACCTCTTAATATTGAAGTACTCCAGGTTTCATTCTTTAGTCCTCTTCTCTTCTTCACTTATACTCACTCCTTGAGTGAATTCATTCAATCTCATGGCTTTAAATACCATCTATATGCCTATGACTTTCAATTTTATATTTTTACCCAAGATATATTTCTTGAATTTGAATCTGTTTAGTAAGCTTGTACTTGACATCTGCATTTGGAGGTCTATTAGTTATCTCAAAATGTCCCAAATTGGATTCCTAATTTTCTTCCACCCAAACTTGTACTACTGGTAACTTTTTTCATCTCAGTTAATGGCAAGACTATCCTTTTAGTTAGTTGTTCAAGACAAAAATTTTAGAACCATTCTTGACTTCTTCTTTTATCTAGTACTTTGTATCTAATCCTCCAGAAAATTCTTTTGACTTTAAAAAATGTGTCCAGAATCCAGCCATTGCCTTCTACTCTGGTTATGTCACCAGCATCCCTAACATTGATTACTCTAAAGGCCCTCAAAATGGTTTCCCTGCTTCCTCCCCTCCCCTCCCCTCTCCTCCCCTCCCCTCCCCTCCCCCCCCCCTCCCCTCCCCTCCCTCCCCCCTCCCCTCCCCTCCCTCCCCCCTCCCCTCCCATCTCCACTCCCCTCCCCTCTTCTCCCCTCCCTCTCCCCTGTCTCCTCCCCTCCCCTCCCCTTCCCTCCCCCTCCCCTCCCCCTCCCCCATTCCCTCCTCTCCCCTTCCCATCCCCTCCCCTCTCTTCCCCCCTCCCCTCCCATCTCCACTCCCCCTCTCCTCTTCTCCTCTCCCTCTCCTCTCTCTCCTCCCCTCCCCTCCCCCTCCCCCTTCTCACCTCCCATCTCCACTCCCCCTCCCCTCTCCTCCCCTCCCCTCTTTCCTACCCTCCCTTCCCCTCCCTCTGCCCTACCTTCTCTCCTCCCCTCCCCTCCCCTCTCCCCTGACATAGGTCAGATCATATTACACCTTGGTTTTAAACCCTACAATAGCTTTCTGTTTATCTCAGAAAATAAGCCCAAGTCCTTGCAGGGTTTTCAAAAATAAGTAATGCACCCATTACTTTTCTCTTCTCATCCCCTATTACTTTGTTTTTGAGATGGGGTCTGGCTTTATCACCCAGGCTGGAGTGCAGTGGCCTGATCTCAGCTCACTGCAACCTCTGCCTCCTGGGTTCAAGTGGTTTTCCTGCCTCAGGCTCCTGAGTAGCTGGGACTACAGGCATGCACCACTACGCCTGGCTAATTTTTGCACTTTTAGTAGAGATGGGGTTTCACCATGTTGGTCAGGCTGGTCTTGAACTCCTGACTTCAGGTGATCTGCCTGCCTTGGCCTCCCAAAGTGCTGGGATTACAGGTGTGAGCCACCATGTCCAGTCTCCCTATTACTTTTTTACTTAGTTCCTCAGCTTCAGCTACACTGACCTTCTTGTTGTTCTTTGAATATACCAGGCATGCTCCTGCCTTTGTCCTTGTCCCCTTTGTCTGAAACACTTTTTGTCTAGAAATCCCCACATGTCAAAACCCTCACCTCTTTCAAGTGTTTACTCAAATGTCACCTTCTCAAGAAGGCCTGATTATCTGTTTAAAAACACACCTGCCTCTTTCCCCAACACACCCTGCTCTCCCAATCTCCTTTATCTACTTTTCACTTATTTCCAGAGCATATATCACTTTCTAACATATTATATAATGTACTTATGTTTAATGTTTATTGTTTATTGCTTATTTCCCCCGCTAGAATCTAAGCTCCAGGAGGTAGCGACCTTCGTACTATTTACTGATGTAGCCTATATGCCTAGAACAATGTCTGGCATGTGGTAAATACTCTATAAATAATTGTTAAATAAATGAGTGGAAGAAACATTATTGGGTTAAAAATATAGTTCCATATAAAACTTTAAGATCACACAATGCAGTATTTACTGTAATATCTCACTCACCTGTAACATTTTTAACTTCATCCATCATCGTATTCAAATCAGTCTTCCCATTATCTTTAAGATAAAAAGGCGTCAAAAAGATTTATGGAAAAATGATATAAGGGCCTTAAATTCTGAAATAGAAACTGAAAAGTCAATTATTCCAAAATATTTCCCTAGAAGTTCATTTTTCCAAGTCCAATGCTCATGAATTGAATTAATATAGCTACTACTATTTATCCTATAAACAATAAAAATCTACATTTCACAATGCAGGAGTAAAGCTTAAAGCATTCTTCTTTCCTTCAAGACAATCTATTATCTAGTAAGTTAATCTATTCAGGGGTTGGAAATTTGAGAATTAAAAAATTTTGTTTAAAAATGGTAATTCCATTTTTGTCAACGCTGACTTTACCTTTAGGCTTATGATGACTTTGGCACTAAGCTATCCACTAAAAGATTAGAGTGTTGGTATCAATGTCTGGTTGCTCTTAGGTTGTCATGTTGATATATCCAGTTAAAGTCCATTTGTGATGACAAAACTTTTATTTTGCCATGACCATTCTCAATTAAAATATATTTTCACAGACCATGTACTTAGTTTCTTTGATCAGTATTTCTCAAATTGAAGTCTGAAGTCACTGGAAGTCAGCGGATAAATTTTAAGCAGTTTGTAAGACTGCAAGTTTGAGAGACACTGGATTGGGAGGTTAAGCTAGTAGTTAAGAGATGTTATTACTCTCATAGGCAAGAATCAGTTTGGAACTTTACAGCTGCTGAAGGACACACTCATTTTCTATTTATGACTTGGTCAAGGGTGTCAATTCATCACTGGTCAAATATGTTTACACTGTTGTATTATTTGTAATATTCCTAAGACTATAAGTTTATCTGAGGACAAGATACCAAGAATCACTTTGCGTTCTTAGTATCACCTAGGCATTAGTGTAATGGTTTGCACAAGATTGATGCTCCATAAACATTTACTAAATTATAGTTCTAGCAAAATGCAAACATATTATAAATAATGAATTAGCTTTAAAATTATTATATTCCAGATTCTTAGATACAGAATTTATATTTGTTTGTTCTTTTAAAATACTTTTAAAATTATGATAATCTTTTTTTTTTTCCGCACTGTTGCCCGGGCTGGAGTGCAATGGCATTATCTCGGCTCACTGCAACCTCTGCCTTCCAAGTTCAAGCGATTCTCCTGCTTCAGCCTCCTGAGTAGCTGGGATTACAGGTGCCCGCCACCATGCCCAGCTAATTTTTTGCATTTTTAGTAGAGACAGGGTTTCACTATGTTGGCCAGGTTGGTCTCGAACCCCTGACCTCGTGATCCACCCACCTCGGCCTCCCAAAGTGCTGGGATTACAGGTGTGAGCTACCACACCCAGCAATTATGACATTCTTTTACCGGTATTTTTTTTTTTCTTTTTTTGAGACAGGGACTCATTCTGTCACCTAGGCTGGACAGTCCACCTGCCTCACTCTCCCAAGTAGCTAGGACTATAGGCACATACCACCATCCCTGGATATATATTTTAGATAGAGTCTTGCTCCATTGCCCAGGCTGGAGTGCAGTGGCATGATCTTGGCTCACTGCAACCTCCACCTCGTGGGTTCAAGCAATTCTCCTGCCTCAGACTCCTGTGTAGCTGGGATTATGGGTATGTACCACTCATGCACAGTTAATTTTTGTAATTTTAGTAGAGTCGGGGTTTCACTGTGTTGCCCAGGTTGGTCTTGAACTCCTGGCCTCATGAGATCCACCTGCCTTGGCCTCCCAAAGTGCTGGGATTACAGGTGTGAGCCACTGCACCTGGCTGTTTCCGGATAATTAAAAGAAATAATTTTTAGAGATGAGGTTTTGCTATGTTGCCCAGGCTGGTTTTGAACTTCTAGTCTCAAGAGATCTTCTTGCCTCAGTCTCCCAAAGTGCTGGGATTACAGAGGTGAGCCACTGCGTCTAGACTGGTATTATTTTATAGTTTTATAATACCTTATTAGTAGTAGTAATATGGTTACCATTATAACTTTTAAATAGGACAAGGAAGAACTTTTTTTGGATAAAAGTTTGCCTGTAAATAACATGCCACCACACTCTTCCCTTTCTATGTCTCCAATTAGCTCCACTGAGGCCCATTAGGTTCTGAAACAATATTCTATCCTATCTCAGATGGTTAAACAGATGTACAAGCTATTCTACATTTATATTATATTATAGGAATTATATTAAGGGCCTCACACTTTAAATCACTGTGCTGGTGATGTTCCAAGATACTAGGACAACAGGGCAACCACAAGTATCTACATTTATTGCATTGGTAGATTGAAAGAGCTATAGAAGGGATTTAAAAACAAAAGAAAAAGTCATGTTTTGAAAACTGCTTACTTATTAAGGCAAAGGTACCAAGGACCTAGAACAGTGCCTGATGCATCATAGTCTTTAAAGTTGATAGAATAGAAGAATGAAAGGTACTACTGATTTAGAAAAGCATATACAGTATTCATTGACTTGGATTAATCATATATTTTTATGATTTCCTTTCTGGAGCAGTAGTCCCCCAAAATTTCCTGATGAATTTTTCTCAGTTCCACTAGCATAAGACCATCTAAAATATTACTATATACCTTTTAAAATCCGTTAATTCTATTAGCTCATGGAAGTATAGCATTGTGGTTAAGAGACAGTTTCTGGAGCCAGATTGCCTAGGTTCTTTTCCTGGTTCCATCATTTACTAGCTCTCTGCCTTTGGGCAAGTGACTTGACTTTTTCGTGCCTTAGTTTCCTTATATGTAGAATTGGGATAAAAACAGAACCTACCTTTTAGGGTTGTTTGCAAGATTAAATAAGTTGATAAATGAAAGTGCTTAGAAGAGTGCCTTGCATGTGTCAGGACTACACAGTGTTGGTCATTGCTATTTAACACTGGATTACCATTAGGGACTAAAAGATTAATGTCCTGTGTATTCTTGTTAAATCTTGGCATTTCCTGTGGTGTTACATAGTGAGTTGACACTTGCCATTTATGTTGGCAGTATTCTTGGTGATTCTTCCCAAGCGGTAGTCATTGGGTTCAGTTTGGTACTTATGGGGAAGGTCTTACTCTTTCATTTCTTTTCATATGTATCCTATCTTCAATCATTCTAGCCCCTTCAATTATTCCAGCCCCACTACTAGTTTCATGTTCAAAGGTTTACTAAGGGTAGCATACTGATATTCAAAACTCTCACCATCAACTGGTAGGTGGTCCTTCAGTGCCTGGATTTCTTTCTCCTTGAGATCAATTCCCATGCTTTTCATGAAAATTTCCATCTTATCTGAAGACACTTTTGTTCCTTAAGAAATAAGGGGATGAACACAAGAAAATTTGTAATGATATAAAGAGCGGGTAATTCTAGCTCACACCTAGGCATCAATTCTATATGTAGAAAGAAGGGCAAAGAACAATGAAACTATTCAAGTAAACATGGTTTTTAGTATCTAAGTCAGGAATTTCTAAACCCTGAGCTGTGGGATTCTGTTATTGCTTTTAGCAGAACTAAGACTAAAATCAGCCTTTATAAATGTGTCTGCATAATAGGGTCTGAAACTTGCTAAAATAATGGAGAAAAATAAATAACTAAATAAAGTCCATGGGTTTACTCCATCATAGTCCTCTGGAAATATTTTTAAAATTTTTATATTTTTAATTGACAAATAATAATTGTATATTTTAAAGGGTATGATGTGATGTTTTGATACATGTAAACATTGTGGAATAATCAAATCAGTGTAATTAGCATATCTATCACCTCAAATATTAATCATTTCTTTGTGGTGAGAATATTCAAAACGCATTCTTGTAGCTTAAAACACACAATACGTTATTATTAAATATAGCCATCTTGTTCGGCAATAGAACACCAGAACCTATTCCTCCAACCTATGACTTTATATCTGTTGACCAATATCTTCCGGGACACTTTTTCTGTTCATTTTATTCTTTTTTATTTTAAGTTCTGGGATACATGTGCAGAACGTGCGGGTTTGTTACACAGGTATACATGTGCCATGGTGGTTTGCTGCGCCTATCAACCTGTCATCTAGGCTTTAAGCCCCACATGCATTAGGTATTTGTCCTAATGCTCTCCCTCTCCTTGCCCCTCACCCCTTGACAGGCCCTGGTATGTGATGTTCCCCTCCCTGTGTCCATGTGTTCAACTCCCACCTATGAGGGAGAACATGGGGTGTTTGGTTTTATGTTCTTCTGTTAGTTTGCTGAGAATGATGGCTTCCAGCTTCATCCATGTGCCTGCAAAGGACATGAACTCATTCCTTTTTATGGCTGCACAGTATTCCATGGTGCTACATTTTCTTTGTCCAGTCTATCATTGATGGGTAGTTGGGTAAATAACTTCTTTATTTAGGAGCAGGTTGTTCAATTTCCATGTAGTTGTGTGGTTTTGAGTGAGTTTTAAAATCCTGAGTTCTAATTTGATTGCACTGTGGTCTGAGAGACAGTTTGTTATGATTTCTGTTCATTTGCATTTGCTGAGGAGTGTTTTAGTTTCAATTATGTGGTTGATTTTAGAATAAGTGCTATGTGGCACTGAGAAGAATGTATATTCTGTTGATTTGGGGTGGAGTATTCTGTAGATGGCTATTAGGTTCACTTGGTCTAGAGCTGAGTTCAAGTCCTGAATACCCTTGTTAATTTTTTGTCTCATTGATCTGTCTAATATTGACAGTGGGGTGTTAAAGTCTCTCACAATTATTGTGTAAGAGTCCAAGTCTCTTTATAGGTCTCTAAGAACTCATTTTATGAATCTAGGTGCTCCTGTATTGGGTGCATATATATTTAGGATAGTTAGCTCTTCTTGTTGCACTGATCCCTTTACCATTATGTAATAGCCTTGTCCTTTTTGATCTTTGTTGGTTTAAAGTCTGTCTTATCAGAGACTAGCATTGCAACCGTTGCTTTTTTTTTTTTTTTTTTGCTCTCCATTTGCTTGGTAAATATTCCTCCATCCCTTTATTTTGAGCCTATGTGTGTCTTTGCATGTGAGATGGGTCTCCTGAATACAGCACACTGACAGGTCTTGACTCTTTATCCAATTTGCCAATCTGTGTCTTTTCACTGGGGCATTTAGCCCATTTACATTTAAGGTTAATATTGTTATGTTTGAATTTGATCCTGTCATCATGATGCTAGCTGTTCAATTTGCACATTAGTTGATGCAGTTTCTTCATAGTGTCATTGGTCTTTATATTTTGGTATGTTTTTGCAGTGGTTGGTACCAGTTTTTCCTTTCCATATTTAGTGCTTTCTTCAGGAGCTCTTGTAAGGCAGGCCTGGTGAGGAAGCAGAGCCCTCAGCATCTGCTTGTGTGGAAAGAATTTTATTTCTCCTTCACTTTATGAAGCTTAGTTTGGCTGGACATGAAATTCTGGGTTGAAAATTCTTTTCTTTGAGAATGTTGAATATTGGCCCCCACTCTCTTCTGGCTTGTAGAGTTTCTGCAGAGAGATCCACTGTTAGTCTGATGGGCTTCCCTTTGTAGGCAACCTGACTATTTTCTATGGCTGTCCTTAACATTTTTTCCTTCATTTCAATCTTGGAGAATCTGATGATTATGTGTCGTTGGGTTGCTCTTCTCGAGGAGTATCTTAGTGGTGTTCTCTGTATTTCCTGAATTTGAATGTTGGCCTGTCTTGCTAGGTTGGGGAAGTTCTCCTGGATAATTTCCTGAAGTGTGTTTTCCAGCTTGTTTCCATTCTCTCCATCACTTTCAGGTACATGAATCAATCATAGGTTTGGTCTTTTCATATAGTCCCATATTTCTTGGAGGGTGTGTTCATTCCTTTTAATTATTTTTTTCTCTAATCTTGTCTTCACACCTTATTTCAGTAAGTTGATCTTCAATCTCTGATATGCTTTCGTCCACTTGATCGATTCAGCTATTGATACTTGTGTATGCTTCACGAAGTTCTTGGGCTGTATTTTCCAGTTCCATCAGGTAATTTATGTTCCTCTCTAAACTGGTTATTCTAGCTACCAGTTCCTGTAACCTACTTTCAAGGTTCTTTGCTTCTTTGCATTGGGTTAGAACATGCTCCTTTAGCTCAGAGGAGTTTGCTATTATCCACCTCCTGAAGCCTACTTCTGTCAATTTGTCAATCTCATTCTCCATCCAGTTTTGTGCCCTTAATGGAGAGGAGTTGCGATCATTTGGAGGAGAAGAGGCATTCTGATTTTTGGAATTGTCAGTATTTTTGTGCTGGTTTTTCCTCATCTTTGTGGATTTATCTACCTTTGATCTTTGAGGCTGATGACCTTTGGATAGGGTTTTTGTGTGGGGGTCCTTTATGTTGATGTTGATGTTGTTGCTTTCTGTTTGTTAGTTTTTCTTCTAAAAGTCAGGCCCCTCTTCTGCAGGTCTGCTGAAGTTTGTTGGAGGTCCACTCCAGACCCTGTTTGCCTGGGTATCACCAGTGGAGACTGCAGAACAGCAAAGATTGCTCCCTGCTCCTTCCTCTGGAAGCTTCGTCCCAGAGGGGCACTGGCCTGGAGCTCTCTTGTATGAGATGTCTGTCGACCCCTGTTGGGCAATTTCTCCCAGTCAGGAGGCACAGGGGTAAAGGACCCACCTGAGGAGGCAGTCTGTCCATTAGCAGAGCTGGTGTGCTGTGCTAGGAGAATCCCTCTTGTCAGGATCAGCTGCTCTCTTCAGAGACAGCAGGCAGGAATGATTAAATCTGCTGAAGCTGTGGCCCACAGCCACCCCTTCCCCCAGGTGCTCTGTCCCAGGGAGATGGGGATTTTGTCTGTAGGCCCCTGACTGGGGCTGTTACCTTTCCTTCAGAGATGCCATGCCCAGTGAGAAGGAATCTAGAGAAGCAGTCTGGCCACAGCTGCTTTGCTGTGCCCACCCCAGACCTCCCAGCTTCCTTAGCACTGTCAGGGTAAAACTACCTACTAAAGCCTCAATAATGGCAGACGCTCCCCCCTCTACCAAGCTTGATCATCCCAGTTTGACTTCAGACTGCTGTGCTGGCAGTGAGAATTTCAAGCCAGTGGTTCTTAGCTTGCTGGGTTCCATGGGACTGGGACCTGCTGAGCGAGACCACTTGGCTCCCTGGCTTCAGCCCGCTTTCCAGAGAAGTGAATGGTTCTGTCTCACTGGGGTTCCAGGCACTACTGGGGTTCAAAAAAATACTCCTGCAGCTAGCTCAGTGTCTGCCCAAATAGCTGCCCAGTTTTGTGCTTGAAACCCAGGGCCCTGGTGGTGTAGGCACATGAAGGAATCTCCTGATCTGCAGATTGCAAAAACTGTGGGAAAAGTGTAGTAACCCAGCGGGGTAGCACAGTTCCTCACGGCTTCCCTTGGATGTGGGGAGGGAGGTCCCTGGCTCCTTGCACTTCCTGGGTGAAGCAATGCCCTACCTTGCTTCTGCTTGCCCTCCATGGGTTGGACCCACTGCCCAACCAGTCCCAATAAGATGAACTGGGTACCTCAATTGGAAAAGGAGAAATCACCCACCTTCTGTGATGGTCTTGCTGGACCTGTAGACCAGAGCTCTTCCTATTGGGCCATCTTGGTCCCTCCTCCTCAAAACTTTTTAATAACGTGTTTCTAGGTACTAGCTCTAGAAATCCAAGATCAGTATGACAGAAAAAGGGCCTAGTGATCTGAATGCTAAAACAGTGTTTTTTTCTTGGTGATTCTGATGCACAACTTTATTTGGGAACCACTGTTTTTGAGTCTACTGTAGTTAAACCATTTTAGTGATTGCAGTGTGCTTAAAGCACATAAGGATAAACAATGAATTAATAAACAGTTGGGACAGTAGGATTAATAATCTGAAAATTGTGAAATAGCAAGGGTTTTTGAAAACAACAGTAAAGCTTGAGGACCTCAGTTTTACCTGCCTTTTTATCTTACTTATCACTCACCTTCAAGACCTCTCAATTCTTTCATCAATCTGTTCACATATACCTTTCCTTTGGCTGTAAGACAGAGAAAAATTCAAGTCTCAGGTAGCAATGTAGATATTTAAAAAATAGCACAAAACATACATAATTTCAGAATGTACATTTTAAAATATTTTATTCCAGAAATTTATACTTTTTCATTTTCAAGAATAAAACTCAGGAATGGAAACAGTTCTCAATTTGATGAAATCATTTTGTTGGAGGGACATGGAACATTCCTTACATAGGGAGTATTAGTCACAAAAGTTCATATGCTCGGCCTTCTTCAAAGAATCCTATGATTTTGTTGTTGTTGAAACAGGGTTTTGTTCTGTCTCCCAGGCTGGAGTGCAGTGACAGGATCTCAGCTCACTATAGACTCCACCTCCTGGGCTCAAGTGATTCTCCCATATCAGCCTTCCAAGTAGCTGGGGCTACAGGTACGTGCAGCTGTGCCTGGCTATTTTTTAAACTTTTTTTTTTTTGTAAAGATGGGTCTCACTATGTTTCCCAGGTTGGTCTTGAATTCTTGAACTCAAGCGATCCTCTCACCTCAGCCTCCCAAAGTGCTGGGATTACAGGTGTGAGTCACTGCATCTGGCTTTACTACGATTTTTTAAATTTAAATTTAAACTTTTTGAGACAGGGACTTGCCCTGTCATCCAGGCTGGAATGCAGTGGCGTGATCACTGCTCAAAGCAGCCTTGACCTCCTGGGCCCCAGCAATCCTCCCGCCTCAGCCTCCTGAGTAGCTGGGACCACAAGCATGTGCCACTACGCCTGGTTGTGTGATATTTTTAATGCTTACCATCAATTGGAAGATTATTCAGCAGTTGCATGCCTTTATCTTCTGTGAGATTTATCCCCATATTTTCCAGAAAATTTTCCAGGTTCCTAGCATCAACCTTCTCACCTTTAAAAAGTAAAAAGTGAAAGTGGTTTAAAGTTTGAAGAATGATGATTCTATATTAAGAAAAATGTTCATGTGGCATCATTTGCTGATTAAACATTAATGACATAAATCTGGCAATAATGCCAGCTATTGCTCAGACATAATCTTAGAGCTGTTTTCTAAAACAATGATGGTGAAAATTAGGCTGTAAGCCATTAGATAAAAACATTCACCAGTAAATAGATAGAGTGAGAGAATGTATCAGAAAGGGAAACACTGCATTTAAAATAGAATTTTGTGCAAACATTGGAATCTCGATTGTGCAAAATTTTCTTAATTGCATGTTTTGGCATCATACAGGGCCTTTCTCTAGGGGCTTCTATCTTAACCTGGTCTGGCTCTCTGTCATGCCTCAGGGATTTGGTGAGTCTGCTTTCCTCTTCTTGGTAGCTGTAATACACAGTGAATTTCTTGTGCTTCCTTCCTTAAGGGTGGCTAGGAAGTCAGATGCAACCTCTCAAGCTCACCTCTTTTTTTGTGCCACAGGAACACTAGCATGTAGAGATTTTTTATTCTTAGAACTTTAATGTAAAGTGCTAGAGGGAAACAGACAGGTGAAAACCAAACTATCACAAGCATGAATAAGACACAAAGCTAACAAATTTCTTTGGTAACAAACTTAGTTTTAGTTCCTGGTTATGAGAGTGGAAATCATCAGTTATCTTTGCCCCTGCAACCATCTCCCAGTCTGCTCTTAGGATGACTGTGTACAATTTTCCTTCACCATGGCTCTTTTCTCTGGCTCTTTTCATGGCTCTTTTCTCTGCTTGAAGATGCAATTTCTTTATTTATTGTTTGAACATAACCTCAAGGTTTTACTGTTTTCTTAATAAAACCAAAGATGAAGCTCAGAACTGAATCACTTGGCCCTTTCTTGTTTTAGCTCCTTTCAGTTCTCTTTAACAGCCAGCATTCGCTGAGATCTGCAGTTGGGCTCAACACACTCTTGCCTCAGCACAATCTTCTTTGTGGTTTTAGGCTTTTCTGGAAAATCGGCTTAGTCTACCCATCATAGCCACTCTGCTTCCTGTCATAACACTGCTTTCCCTGGGCATACAGAGAATCCTTGCCCTTCTTAGACTGTGTCACTTTATGGGGTTGGAACTTGCCATACTTCCTACAGAAAGTCCAGTGGGTTTTATGAATGTTCATCATGTTTACAGTAGCTCTTTTGGCAGGGAACAAAAGCTAAAGATGCACTTAAGGCAGACAAATCAGATGTCCCAATCCTTTCCAATTCCAGCAAAAGAAAATTCTTGCTTTTAGTCCTCTGGCACCACAATGCAGTTTTTCCACTGAGAGGGGAATGTCTTGAGAGTTAGCCAGTCATCTGCACAAGTGCCTAGGAGGAAATGTGCACAAGGGTTGTTTTCCCCAAGATGCTTCGGAACTCTTTTGTGAAGACTTGGACCACTGGGGCTTCTAATATCCCCCTGTCACCAGCCAAAGGAATGACTCTTCAGACACAAAAGAGCAAGCTCCCAGTCTGCTAACTTGATCAGGGTTTTGACAAGACATGGGAGCTTCTGCCTCAGGAGCATGGTCTAACTATATCTTTTATCCATATTGCTCTCATTTTTCGGAATGAAAACCCCTTCAAATTTTTTGCCCTCTCTAGTCTATTGTTTTATTACCTTGACATTTTTCTTTCTGTTGCTAGCTTCTTGTCAACCCTTCTCATAGTTCACTCTGAAATTAATATTTCAGTTAATATGAATTTCTCTGTATCTTTAGTCTCTTTACAGACTTTTAACTGTCCTTTTTAACTGAACTTTGCCTCTTCCTAATATAATTTTCTATTACTTGCTTTTATTTTTGAGATAAGACTGCTCATTTTTCCCTCCCTCCCTCCCTCTTCCTTCCTTCCTTCCTTCCTTCCTTCCTTCATTCCTTCCTTCCTTCCTTCCTTCCTACCTTCCTTCCTTCCTTCCTTCTTAGATGGAGTCTTGTTCTGTCACCAAGACTGCTCATTTTTCTATGTCCTAATTGTCTCACGGCTTGGCATTCTCCTACGTTGCAACCGCTGCCTTCCAACCAAATCCAAACCTCTTCTCTTTTGAGATTTATGGAATTTGGCTTTCTTTTTATTTCTACCCACTGGCTTCTTGGTCACTTCAGGAGCTTGTCCTATGACCCATAGTCTTCTCCTGCATCCAAAACTCCTAGCATCATTATAAGGAATTCCAGCCTTTATATGGATAACTTATTCAATGACTTGGCCTCCAAATCTCTTGACCTTCTTATCCTCAATGACTATCTCTTATTTTTATTGCCACCCACTGGCTTCTTGGTCACTTTAGGAGCTTGTCCCATGACCCATAGTCTTCTTCTTCCTCCAAAACTCCTGGCATCATTATAAGGAATTCCAGCCTTCATTCAGATAACTCATTCAATGACTGGCCTCCAAATTTCTTGACTTTCTTATCCTCAATGACTATCTCTTAAATTCTACGTCAGTTAACTGTCAAGGACACATTCTGGACTTTGTCATCACCTAGAAATGCTTTACCTCTAAAACCTTAAATTCTAACGGGCTGACTTCTGGCCAATACCTTGTAATTCTTCTATTTATTTTACTTCCTTTCTCATACCACACCTGTTATATCTTTATAGAGAATTTCATTCCCCTTCTCTCACTTTTCTGTAAGTTCACAACCTCACTTCTTTCTGCATCCACACTAGAACACTTAATCATTTTCTTGGACTACACGGTTAAGTCTCTATGCTTTCATTCTTCTGGTACATGAGTCTTAGCATCTCCCAATTTGGTCCAACTGAAGAATATCATATAATCATATGAAAGGTTGCTATTATGTTTTAATGATATTTAACTATGGTTACCTCTTAGCACTTCTCAGCAATGCCTTCATGTATTCCTTATTAACTTTAGTTCATATTTTCTATCAAAGTTATACAAAATCAAATTAGTACAGCTTTTATGGAAAACGGTATGGAGATTTCTCAGGTAACTAAAACATGGAGCTGCCATTTGATCCAGCAGTTCCACTACTGGGTATATACCCAACGGGAAAGAAATCATTATATTAAAAAGATATCTGCACTCTTACGCTTATTGCAGCACTATAGCAGAGATGTGGAATCAATCTAACTGTCCATCAATGGAGGACTGGATAGAGAGGATGAAGTATGTATATACCAAGGAATACTACTCAGACACCAAAACAATGATATGATGTCTTTTGCAGCAACATGGATGGAACTGCAGGCCATTATCCTCAGCAAAATAACTCTGAAACAGAGGGTTAAGTACCACACGATCTCACTTGTAACTGGGAGCTAAACAATTTGTACACATGGACATACAGAGTGGAATAATGGACATTAAAGACTACAAAAGGTGGGAGGGTGCAGGGGTGAGGGTTGAAAAATTACTTATTGGGTACAATATTCACTGTTTGAGTGATGGGTACACTAAAAGTCCAGACTTCACAACGATGCAATATATACATGTAAGAAATCTGCCCCTGTATCCCCTACATACATAAAACTAAAAACAAAAACAAGAAAAAAAGTTATGTAAAATAATCAATACTCTTCTTGAAATTCCCTACCCCACCATTGTGTCCTTCCTGCTAGTAGATGATCCTGTTTTCTACTTTACAAAGAAAATTGAAGCGTTTAGGTAAACTCCTTTGAATTTTACTCCCACATCTACCTAGATTCTCTATATCTTTGTCCTTCCTGACTTAAGTCTCCTTGTCTTGGAAAAACAGGTGGCTTCAGATTTTTTTTTTTTTTTTGAGACAGAGTTTTGCTCTTGTTGCCCAGGCTGGAGTGCAATGGCGCGATCTCGGCTCACTGCAACCTCTGCCTCATGGGTTCAAGCGATTCTCCCGCCTCAGCCTCCCTAGTAGCTAGGATTACAGGCGCCCACCACTACGCCCAACTAATTTTTTTCTTTGTATTATTAGTAGAGACGGGGTTTCACTATGTTGGCCAGGCTGGTCTCGAACTCCTGACCTCAGGAGATCTACCCGCCTCAGCCTCCCAAAGTTCTGGGATTACAGGCGTGAACCACTGCGCCTGGCCCAGATTCTTACTCATATATTCAAGTGCCTATGGTTCAATTCTCTTTAGATGTCTCAAAATTCAATATGACCCAAAATGGTAACTCTACTTCTAAATCTTTTACTGAATTTCTTTATTTTGGTGACTGTTTTTATCATTCACCCAACTACCGAACTCAGAAACAAAGCAGTCATCCTTTACTGTTTCCTTTCTTCAAAACTCCATAACTGATCAGGAATCAAATCCTGTAATACTATATCTGTAATATCTCTTATATGTGTCCCTTCCTCTCAAGTCTCATTGATAATGATTACCTCTGTCTTTTATTGTCTTTTGCCTGGACAGTGACAATTTGCTTCCTAACTGTTCTCCCTGACTCCTCTCCTGTACACACACCTTCCTCCATTCATCCATTCTCTATATTGCTGCCAAAGCAATCTTTCTTTCTTTTCTTCCTTTTCTTTTCTTTTTTTTGGAGACAGGGTGTTGCTTTGTCATCCAGGCTGGATTACATGGTACAGTTGTAGCTCACTGCAGCCTCAACCTCCTGGGCTCAAGCCATCCTCCCACCTCAGTCCCCCAAGTAACTAAGACTACAGGTATGTGCCACCACACCTGTTTTTATTTTTTTATTTTTATTATTTTGTAGAGATGGAGTTTCATCATGTTGCCCAGGCTGGTCCCAAATTCTTGAGCTCAGGCAATCCACCTGCCTCGACCTCCCAAAGTGGTGGATTACAGACATGATCCATTGCACCCGGCAAATCTTTCTAATTTGCACATCTCATCACATAGTCTCTAGCTTAAAATCCTGGAATGACTCCATACTCCACAGAATAAAATTCACACTCCTTTATTTGGTAGTCAAGAACCGCTATGATTTGTTCCCTGTGTAAGTTCCTGTTGTTGCTGTAACAATTTACCAAAAACTTGGTGGTTTAAAACAATACAATTTTTTTTCTCTTAATGGTTCTGGAGAGTGAAAGTCTGAAATCAGTTTTATTGGGCTAAAGTCAAGGTGTCAGCAGGGCTGGTTTCTTCAGGAGGATCTGGCAGAGAATCTGTTCCCTTGCCTTCCACTTCTAGAGGCCACTTATATTCTTCAGCTCATATCCCTTCTTCCATCCTCAAAGCTCTCATTGTAGCATCTTGCTTCCATTGTCACACTGCCTTCTACTTTTTCTGTCATCAAGTCTCCCTCTTAAGGACAGTTGTAATTACATTTAAGGTATACTTAGATAAGGATAATCTCCCCATCTCAGGGTTCCTAATCATATCTCCAAAGTCACTTTTCCCATATAAGTTAACATTCACAGATTCTGAGGATTAGGACTTGGATATTTTTGGGAGCCTACCACATCTCCTTCCTTGCTCTTTAAGTTTATTTCTTGCCAAATTCCTGATAGCATTTTATGATCCAGTTTATGCCAAATTATTTCTAGTTCCTTAAAGTTCCATACTGTTTCGTTTCTCATCTTGGTGCCTTTTATGCATTTTTTTTTTTTTTTACCAGTCTTGTATGGTTGCTGTTCATGGTACTACATAACAATTACAGTAGTAACATCAAAGATCATTGATCACAGATTACCATAATAGATATAACAAAAAAGTTTGCAAGACATGACACATGAGACATGAAATGAGGACATGCAATTGGAAAAATGACATTGATAGGCTTGCTTAATGCAGGGTTGTTGCAAACCTTCAATTTGTAAAAATCACAGTATCTGTAAAATGCAATAAAGCAGAGCATAATAACCTGAGGTGTATCTGTAACTGAATTTCTTATTATAGGTGTATTTAGACTTTTTTTCTTGGCTGGGCACAGTAGCCCACACCTGCAATCCCATCACTTTGGGAGGCCGAGGTGGGTGGATCACCCGAGGTCAGGAGTTCCAGACCAGCCTGGCCAACATGGTGAAAGCCCATCTCTATTGAAAATACAAAAATTATGCTTTTTTCCCTCTGTCAGAAACACTGTCTCCCTGACAAACACTGTTTCATTTTTTTAAGGATCAGCTCATATGTTGCCCACTCTACAAAACTATTTCTCAACTTCTCAGGTGCAAGTGACCATCTTTCCCCTTCTTTACCTTTTATAGGTTCTTTGCAATCTATAAAATTTTATTGCATTTACTTGTATGTATTTTTCCTGCCTCAACTACATAAGCTCCTGGAAGGTTGGGATATGATACACACTTAATAATGAGTTAATAAAAATCTAACCTACCTGTAAAAAGATATCCTTCATCCATCACCACATTCACATTAACTCTTCCCTCATCTGTAAGACAAGACAGAATCGTATGCATAAAGACTATAATAGAATAGAAGAAATATGTAACAGTCATACATTGGCCAGGTGTACCTGTAATTCCAGCACTATGAGAGGCCAAGGTGGATGAATCATTTGAGGTCAGGAGTTCGAGACCAGCCTGGCCAACATGGTGACACCCTATCTCTGCTAAAAATACAAAAATTTTTATATTTGTATAAAATATAAAGGAGGCTGAGCAGGAGAATCGCTTGAACCCAGGAGGTGGAGGCTACAGTGAGCCAAGATCATGCCATTGCACTCCAGCCAGGGGAGCAGAGTGAGACTCTGTCTCAAAAAAAAAAAAAAAAAAAAAAAAAGTCATACATCGAAGGAAAACACAAAATTCAGCAAATTTATATGATTTATTCTAGAATTTCGTCCTTTTGTTTTGATACTTATTTATTCATTTTGTGTCAGGGTCTCACTCTGTCTCCCAGGCTGGAGTGCAGTGGTGTGATCTTGGCTCACTGCAACCTCCGCCTCCTGGGTTCAAGTGATTCTCTTGCCTCAGCCTCACAAGTAACTGGGATTACAGGCGCATGCCATCATGCCCAGCTAGTTTTATATTTTTGGTAGAGATGGGGCTTCACCATGTTGGCCAGGCTGGTCTCCAACTCCTGACCTCAAGTGATCCACCTGCCTTGGCCTCCCAAAGTGCTGGGATTACAGGTATGAGCCACCGCGCCCAGCCTAGAATTTTATCCTTTTAAAACTCCAAATGGAAAATGTGGAAAGAAAAAGTTCTGATTATAAAAAGGATGCTTACTTCACACTTCTAATATCACTTTTATTTTATTAAGATAGTTAACCTCATGTAGTAGAATGCTAGGCTGATACACTGAAGAAGTATCTGGAATAACTCTAATTTATTCATTATAATACTGTCAAGCAACTTAAAAAGGGAAACTGCTCCAGTAGGGAAGATTTGCCTTAGAGCATTAACAGTCCATATATTTGCAAAAAATCCTTCCCATCAACCAAAAACAATGCATTTCCTTCTTTCTTTCTCTCTCTCTCTCTCTCTTTCTCTCTCTTTTTGAGATGGAGTCTTGCTCTGTTACCCAGGCTAGAGTGCAGTGACGGGATATTAGCTCACTGCAACCTCCACCTCCTGGGTTCAAGAGATTCTCCTGCCTCAGCCTCCCGAGTAGCTGGGATTACAGGCACCTGCCACTGTGCCTGGCTAATTTTTGTGTTTTTAGTAGAGATGGGGTTTCACCGTGTTAGCCAGGCTGGTCTCGATCTACTGACCTCGTGATACAGCTGCCTCAGTCTCCCAAAAGTGCTGGGATTACAGGCATGAGCCACCGTGCGTGGCCACCAATGCCTCCCTTTCTCTTTTCCCTTCCTTTTCCCTTCCCCTCCCCTCCCTTCCCCTCCCCTTCCCCTTCCCCTCCCCTCCCCTTCCCCTTCCCCTTCTCCTTCCCCTTCCCCTTCCCCTTTCCTTTCCTTTCCTTCTTTTTACTGATGACTCTGTTGCGGAGGCTGGAGTGCGCCTAGGCGCCATTTCGACTCACTGCAAGCTCCGCCTCCCGGGTTCACGCCATTCTCCTGCCTCAGCCTCGGGAGTGCCTGGGACTACAGGCGCCCGCCATCACACCCGGCTAATTTTTCGTATTTTTAGTAGACACGGGGTTTCACCGTGTTAGCCAGGATGGTCTTGACCTAGTGACCTCCTGATCCGCCCGCCTCGGTCTCCCAAAGTGCTGGGATTACAGGCGTGAGCCGGCCACACCGATGCCTACTTCTATACTCAATCCACACTTAGTTTAGGCTTTCTGTCCTTCTTCTACTACTCACTTCAATATCAATAAAATAAATTTTAGATCAATCTAACTGAACTTTAACAATATCTTTTAAATTTTGTTTTTAAACTTTATTTTGTATTTTTCTTTTTAAAACTTGTATAAATTTAAGGGGTACAATATTGTTATATGGATATATTGCCTTTTAAAGTGGGTCTTTAAAGACCCTTATAGGCCAGGCACGATGGCTCACGCCTATAATCCCAGCACTTTCAGAGGTTGAGGCGGGTGGATCACCTGAGGTCAGGAGTTTGAGACCAGCCTGGTCAACATGGTGAAACCCTGTCTTTACTAAAAATACTAAAATTAGCTGGGTGAGGTGGCAGGCGCTGGTAGTCCTAGCTACTTGGGAGGCCGAGGCAGGAGAATCGCTTGAACCTGGGAGGCAGAGGTTGCGGTGAGCCAATATCATGCCATTGCACTCCAGCCTGGGCAACACAAGCAAAACTCCGTCTAAAAAAAAAGGGGTCTTATAGATGGTCAGTGCCTTGGAGGAAGACGTCTTATCCATTCTCATGTATTTTATTTTATTTATTTATTTTTGAGACAGAATCTGGCTCTGTTGCCCAGGCTGGAGGTCAGTGGCACAATCTCAGCTCACCACAACCTCTGCCTCTTGAGGTTCAAGTGATTCTCCTGCTTCAGCTTCCTGAGTAGCTGGGACTGCAGGCACACACCACCATGCCTGGTTAATTTTTCATCCTAATGTGTTTTAATTATTCCCACAGAAGACTTATGAATAGCCTGAATGCTATTTATAAGAATATTTCTAATGCTATTTCCTAAGAGCTCATTGACTTGAAAAGTAGTACTCAAGGAGATGGTTGACATTTCTACAACCAAAATCATCACGGCATTCCAGCAAAGTTTCAAGATACCTGGATAATGAATAAGAAAAAGTATCTACATCATTTTTTTTTTTTTTTTTTTTTTTTTTGAGACGGAGTCTCGCTCTACCGCCCAGGCTGGAGTGCAGTGGCCGGATCTCAGCTCACTGCAAGCTCCGCCTCCCGGGTTTACGCCATTCTCCTGCCTCAGCCTCCCGAGCAGTTGGGACTACAGGCGCCTGCCACCGCGCCCGGCTAGTTTTTTGTATTTTTTTAGTAGAGACGGAGTTTCACCGTGTTAGCCAGGATGGTCTCGATCTCCTGACCTCGTGATCCGCCCGTCTCGGCCTCCCAAAGTGCTGGGACTACAGGCTTGAGCCACCGCGCCCGGCCTACATCATTTTATAAGTAGATAAAAATACTGGGAAATAATGTATTTCCAATAATAAAAAAAAAATCCCATGGAAAATTCACTTTCTTCTGACCAGAGCAGGGCATAAATAGGTGGCATTGTGTTGAGATGAATGTATATTGATTTTTATTATTGCTACTAATAAAGCTAATTTTAAATGTTTACTATGTGCTAAGGCCTATATTAAGAATTTACAACAATTATGAAAGGTAGATATTATTTTCTTTTTGACAGAAGGGAACTAAGATTCAGAGCAGTTAATTTGACCAATCTTGCACAGCCAAGAGTTGTCGGAGCTGAGATTCAAATCCCTGTCTGGCTAATTCCAATTCCAACTTCATTCCACAATGCCATATAATCAGTGGAACCAGTGGGATGAATCCCAGGTTTTTGCTATTTTTCCCTAGAGGGTTATTATTTTGGAAAATGTTCTTTTTGGATACTTGTAGGTCTCATTATTATGAGGCCATGCTAATGTACGGTAGATGTGATTGATGTTAAGGGGAATTATTACTATTCCCCGTCTTAAACTTGTCATTTTTGGTAGGTCATAATTCACTGTAGATAAATTCTTCTTTTCTGTCTTTCTCTTACTACTATTTTCCTCCTTATTTTATTTGTTTACTTGCAGACTTTCCCTCTCAGACATTTTCTCCACTTATTTATTTTTTGGCTTTTCCTCTTGGTCTACTAATAATCTCATCAGTGCTCTGACACATTGCTAAAGTTTTGATAAATTTGTGGACTGCTAACTTCCTCATTAAAGATAAATAAGATGAATTATTAGAGTATTCCTTTCCAACCATCTCTTAATTCATATTTCTAAGTCAATGTCTTACAAGTATCTCAAACTCTACCTGTCCAAAACTGAAACTACTCTCCTGACATTTTAACCTGAATCTCTTCCGGAATCGGCTTATGACTGATGACTTCCTCATTAGGATATCCCTTCCTAAAATTCTTCAACTTTTTCATACCTCACATGTAATCAGTCACCATGCTCTATTCACTTTAAATTTTTATTAGTTTTAATAAATACATTTAAATTCTAAAATCTTTCGCAAATCACTCTGTTATTCATCACTAAATTCACTTCCCTTGCCTAGGCTCTCACTGTCTCTTGTTGGATCATGGAAGTATCTCTCAAGTTCCAGTCTTTACTTCCAATAATGCTGTCTACATTGCCATCAGCACTGATTTTGCAAGAGAGAAATACTCTAGATATACCACTACTTACAGTATGAAGGCTAAAATTGAAGGGAGAAATAGACAATTCAAGTATAATATTTGGAAACTTCAGTACCCCACTCTAAATAATGGATAGAACAACCAAACAGGAAAATAAGTAGGTTAAAGAAGACTTGAAGAATATTATCAATCATGGAACATTCACCAGGCTAGACCATATGCTAGGCCATAAAACAAGTCTCATTCAGTTTAAAAGAACTGAAATCAAGAAAGTATGTTTTCTGACCACAAAGGAATTAATTCTAAGTCAACAGCAGAAGGAGATTTGGGAACTCCATAAACATTTAGAAATTAAACAACACATTTCTAAATAACCCATGGATCAAGAAGAAATTACCTGGGAAATTAGAAAGTATTTTAAACTGAATGAAAATGAAAACACAAATATGAAAAATTTCAAAATGCAGCTAAAGCAGTGCTTAGAGGAAAATTTATACCTGCAATCACCTGTATTAGAAATGAAGAAAGGGTTGGGCATGGTAGCTCACACCTGTAATCCCAGCACTTTGGGAGGCTGAGGTGGGTGGATCACCTGTGGTCAGGAGTTCGAGACCAGCCTGACCAACACGGTGAAACCCCTTCTCTACTAAAAATACAAAAATTAGCCAGGCATGGTGGTGCATGCCTGTAGTCCCAACTACTCAGGAGGCTGAGGCATGAGAATCGCTTGTACCCGGGAGGCGGAGGTTGCAATGAGCCGAGTTTGTGCCATTGCACTCCACCCTGGGAAACAAGAGCAAAACTCTGTCAAAAAAAAAAAAAAAAAAAAAAAAAAAAGAAGGAGGAGAAGGAGAAGAAGAAGAAAGAAAAAGAAAGAAAGAAAGAAGGATTTTAAATTAAGAATCTAAATTTTCACCATAAGAAGAGCAAACTAAACCTAAGGTAAGCTGAGAGAAGAAAATAATGAGGACTAGAGCTGAAATCAATAAAATGGAAAACAGAAAATTGATAGGAAAAATTGATGTTGGTTTTTTGAAAAGATCAACAAAATTGGCAAATCTTTAGCTAGTTTGACTAAATAAAAAAAATACAGATTGGCCGGGTGCGGTGGCTCAAGCCTGTAATCCCAGCACTTTGGGAGGCCGAGATGGGCGGATCATGAGGTCAGGAGATTGAGACCATCCTGGCTAACACGGTGAAACCCCATCTCTACTAAAAAATACAAAAAAACTAGCCGGGCGAGGTGGCGGGCGCCTGTAGTCCCGGCTACTCGGGAGGCTGAGGCAGGAGAATGGCGTAAACCCGCGAGGCGGAGCTTGCAGTGAGCCGAGATCCACTCCAGCCTGGGCGACAGAGCGAGACTCCGTCTCAAAAAAAAAAAAAAAAAAAAAAAAAAAGATACAGATCAAAATCATGAGAGAGGACAGCATTACTGACTTCATAGAAATTAAAAAGGAATATAAAGAAATACTATGAACAACTTCATGCCAACAAATCAGACAACTTAGATGAAATGGATGAATTTCTAGAAAGACACACATTACTGAAAGGCTCAAAAGGATGATGAAAGCTAAACTACATAGCTTTCCAGTCTTGGCAATCTGCCTTTCCAGCCTTTTTTTTTTCCTGCCATGTTGTAACATGAAGTCACATTCTACCCCCAAGGAAATTCTTGCTGCAATCCTAACAATTCTGTGGCTTCGCATGCATTTACGCTTTTGTATGCATTATTTTCCTATCTGGAATGCCTTCATCTGGGAGAATTTCCACACATCTTCTGACAAGCCTTTCTCTGATTCCCTTCCTGGAAAACTTAGTTCTTTCCTCCTTTAAGATCTCACTGAACATATTTTTATATATTCACAACCACATTGCATTATGATATATTGTTTGCATATAAGATGTATTACTAGACTATGAACTCCTAGAGGTCAGAGATTCTGTCATCTTCATTTTTGTATTCCTAATAGTGTACATATATTAGATGCTCAATAAAGTCTACTGCATGAATTAATTCTTGAGGACTGGACTCTTACCTTTTTACGTATCTATTTATTTATGCATTTATTTATTTATTTTGGAGACAGGGTCTCACTCTGTTGCTCAGGCTGGAGGGCAGTTCTTTTTATTTTTTAATGCTTCTGCACAACTCTAAATATACTATCAGAAGTTCTCATATATGATCCAAAGTTTTGCTTAAACAGCAGCTCACCATCAATGGGCAGGTTGTTTTTCAGATCTTGGTATTCCTCTTCCTCAAGCTCAAAGCCCATATGTTCCATGAAAGGTTCTAGTTTATCAACACTAAGCTTCACTCCTTAGAAAAAAGAGAACAGGAATGAGAAATGCAAACAATAATGATAAAGTGAAAAATACTAGGCATGTCCATGAGTTAATAGAGGGTAAACAATCAAAGAAGCAATAAAGTTGTTTATATGAAAATAATTGCCATGTGAATCCCAAAAATGGGAATGCTCTCCCATTTTTGTCTAGAGGATCTGACTATAGGTTTCATGGGACATTTATAAGGAAAAAACTGAAGAACTAGGCAAGTCTGATGAAATGTGGCAAGAAGCTGCCTTTATAATTCTATTTGTAAAATAGATTTTAAATGCAGTGATAGAATAAAAAATCACTTCCCCAAAGGCACTATGTTCAAAGTAGTAAATTATGAGACAAAAACAATAAACAGGTTAATTGCCAAACTTGTCATCATCCCAAATATATGTGGTTTTAAAAAAGTAAACACAATCAGTTTTACCTGATTTCTCACTTACCTTTGAGAGACCTTATACCATCCAGCAACTTACGCTTATACAACTTTCCAGCAGCTGTAAGATATTAAAGCACAGTATAGCAACTGGTGGGGAGGCTTGATAAAATATTTAAAAAACCAGCAATTTCAGAAGAACAACTCATAATTTTACTCAAATCTTTTTGTGTTTGTGTTTATACCCGAAATAAGAATTAGACCAACAGGAGAGAGCTCTTAAGATAATAAATCTACCTACTTTTTCTTTTTTGACACCAAAACAATTAGTGGTACCTTGCTATGCCTTTCTTATGTCTCTCTTTTTTTCTTCTGATTTCTCCTTTTCTACTCCTCTGCTTAAGATCATGCATATTGGTGTTCCCAAGTATAATGTTAGATATAGTTAGATTTAGCTCAAGCGATTCTTGAGCAAAAAACCTGATGATTATGACAAGATTTCTTTGAATGTTAGCATTGAGCATTTCTATATATTTTTCACATGACATCAAATGGATGCTTTGCTTTGTATTTTCATTGACAAGCCCATAACAATAAATTCTTCTTCAAGGTAATCAGTGAGATGTTGTCTGCTGCCATGACAGGTTTCATATTTACAGAAATTCATCTAATCCCACATAGGTGGTGAAGTAGCATGGATTTCTGGCTTCCTCTCCACAAATCAACCCTGGAGCAACTGAAGTTTGAGCAGAAATTTGGATTGTAGGAACCAAGTGAAAAGCCGTAACAAAATTCTTGGGAAATGAAAAGCTGTGTGTGTGTGTGTGTGTGTGTGTGTGTGTGTGTGTGTACAGCCTCGGGTAGAGGGCTAGCAGTGGCAGTTAAAGCACCAATTAGGGAAACTTTTCTTTTTAAAAGATTTTTGCCTTTTCCTTTATGTACCATGAATCTAAGATTATCATTGCCTACTCCTTCATTACAGAAAGCAGCAATAAAAGGCTAGACCAATGGTCCGGTGTCTGGAAGGTAACATCAGGGCACCACATAAACCCTTCAGGAGTGAAGGACTAATGTAAACAAGAGAAGACTGGTAAGCTGCCCTCTGGTATTTTATCCTGTAACTTTTATGGTTGGTCGATTGCCTTCTTTCAGTTCTACGTTTCTCTGTGGTTAAAGGTGAAATTGACTGTCACCGTTTGCTGATAATATGATCATTTATCTTGAAAACCCTAAAGACTCTTCTAGAAAGCTCCTAGAACTGATAAAAGAATTCAGCAAAGTTTCTGGATACAAGATTAATGTACACAAATCAGTAGCGCTTCTATACACCAACAGCAACCAAGCGGAGAATCAAATCAAGAGCTCAATCCCTTTCACAACAGTTGTAAAATAAATAAATAAATAAATAAAATACTTAGGAATATACCTAACCAAGGAGGTGAAAGATCTCTACAAGAAAAGTTACAAAACACTGCTGAAAGAAATCACAGATGACACAAACAAATGGAAACACATCCCATGCTCACGGATTGGTAGAATCAATATTGTGAAAATGACCATACTGCCAAAAGCAATATACAAATTCAGTGCAGTTCCCATCAAAATACCACCATCATTCATCACAGAATTAGAAAAAAAATCCTAAAATTCATATGGAACCAAAAAAGAGCCCATATAGCCAAAGCAAGACTAAGCAAAAATAACAAATCTGGAGCCATCCACACTACCTGATTTCAAACTATACTATAAGTCCATAGTCACCGAAACAGCATGGTACTGGTATAAAAATAGGCATGTAGACCCATGGAACACAAAAACATAAAGTGGGGAGGAGGAGAAAACACCCTTTCCTTTTTTTTTTTTAAGATTCTATCCAGTTTATTCTCTCTCAATTTTAGAAAAACAGCTTTCACACTTTCCCTCAAATACTGAGCTATATAAAATCATTGTTCAATTTAACTTTAAATAAATTCTAACAATGACAACTTAAGGTACTGTGTTTGATGTAGTAAACCAAACAGAGTATTAAAATATAAAATTCTTGACAATTGAGTAGGAATGACACAATTTTTGTTTTTTCATTTAACATTTCAACCTAACCATGGAGATGTGGAGGATTTATGTCCTTTCGCTTTTAATTTTGTGTATGTTATGCAATTGCTTTAATCAACAGAAAACTACAGAAGTGACTCTGTACCTGTTTCTGTGCCTAGGCCTTATGAAACTGACAGCTTCCACTACCTGTCTCTTAGAACAACTGCTCTTGAAAACCAGCCACCATGCTATGAGGAAGATGAAGCAATCCTGTGGAGAAGCCCACATAGAGAAGAACTGGAGGTCCCAGACTGAAGTCCTGCTGAGTTCCCAGACAACAGTCAGTACCAATTTGCCTTTTAAGAGAGTGAGCTATCATGTAAATAACTTCTCTGGATCCAGAAAAACCTAGTTCTTGACCTACAAAATCATGAGCAAAATAAAATTGCTCTTTTAAGACAACACACAGAGTGGGAGAAAATCTTCACAATCTACGCATCTGATAAAGGGCTAATATTCAGAATCTACAACAAACTCAAATCAGTAAGAAGAAAAACAGTCACATCAAAAAGTGGGCTAAGGACATGAATAGACAATTCTCAAAAGAAGATATACAAATGGCCAACAAACATACGAAAAAAGCTCAACATCACTAATGATCAGGGAAATGCAAATCAAAACCACAATACGATACCACTTTACTCCTGCAAGAATGGCTATAAGAAAAAAATCCAAAAATAGTAGATGTTGGCGTGGATGCGGTAAACAGGGAACACTTCTCCACTGCTGGTGGGAATGTAAACTATTACAACTACTATGGAAAATGGCATGGAGATTCCTTAAAGAACTAAAAGTAGAACTACTATTTGATCTAGCAGTCCCACTACTGGGTATCAACCCAGAGGAAAAGAAGTCATTATATGAAAAAGATACCTGCACACACATGTTTATGGCAGCACAGCTCGCAATTGCAAAAAAGTGGAAACAACCCAAATGCCCATCAATCAACAAGTGGTTACAGAAACTGTGGTATATTTATATGATGGAATACTATTCAGCCACAAAAAGGAATGAATTAATGGCATTTGCAGCAACCTGGATGAGATCGGAGACTATAATTCTAAGCGAAGTACCTCAGGAATGGAAAACCAAACATCATATGTTCTCACTGATATGTGGGAACTAAGCTGTGAGGACACAAAGCCATAAAAATGATACATTGCACTTTAGGGACTTGGGGGGAAGGGTGGAAAGGGGATGAGAGATAGCAGACTACAAATAGCGTGCAGCGTATACTGCCCGGGTGATGGGTGCACCAAAATCTCACAAATCACCACTAATGATCTTACTCATGTAACCAAATACCACCTGTACCCCAATAACTTATGGGAAAACAAAGGTGAAATTGACCAGAGGGGAGTGTCAGCTCAAGAAAATGATTAAAAAGTCCTGGGTATCTCTGCCTTGGGACTTGTCTTCTTCTTTGATTAAACTTAGCCAAATTAATGAAGTATTTCTTCACATATTGTGAATATCACTGTGTACTCTGTACTATCTCAACATGAAGTTATACATGGTTCCTCAAACATGCCTTGGTTGGGTATGCCTCTGTGCCTTTGTTATGTTTTTATTAATATTATAGCACTTACCAAAGTGCATGGAATTTTTTTGGCATGTGCTGTCTGCCTATACATTGAATTCTTTTAGGACCTGGACATTGTCTTTTTTATTCTTTATGACTCAGAGCCAAATATAATGTTTAGTGCCTAATGGCAGCACATTGACTTTTAGTAAATGGATGAATAAATACCTCATCGTAAATTAAATGCTTACCATCAAGTGGCAAACTTTTCATCAATACCGAGTTTTCCTTTAGTTGGAGTCTTAACCCTATGTTTTTCAGAATATTTTCCAGGTCTTGATAGTCAATTTCTTCCCCTTAAAAAAGAAAATAATTAAAAAAATCAAATTTCAATAGTAATTATAAAATCAATTATGTCTGTGTAGCATTACCCACAAATACAGGATAAAAAGCAACAGAAACATCAGTGTTGTCTAATTACACAGAACTAGAAGGGAGATTTCAGAAATGAAACGTCTTTCTGGTAGAAGAAAGCTCTTCGATGTTGCAAGAAACAAACACAGCACACAGATAGTTCACAAAATGATGTGGCATGAATAATTCTGCCAGCATGTAATATTTGCTCTATTGTTTCATTTGTGTCTGAATCATGAATTTATTCTTAGTAGTCATATTACCTGTATGTGTAATTTGCATTGCTATTTTGCTATCAAAACAGTAGAGAATGAAATTATATTATTGAAAAACTCCAAAGAATATAAGACATGTTATTTAGGCATTACACTGTGGCCTTTTAAGTAAGATGTAGATAACAACTGATTATAATAATTAATAACATTTAGTTTATAAAGCATGTCTCTTTAGTTGTATATAAATTGCCAATAAAAACAGATACAATGTCAGGATTAATATGATATGGACAAGATAACATAAAATACTTTCAAAATAATTTCTTTTGTTAAACATTTAGATGATTTTTATTGTCTTATCATCATTTCTTCTGACTCACCTAAAATTTCATCTACTTCATTCAGAAGTAAATCCAGTTTAACTCTTCTCTCATCTATAAGACAAGATACAATTTTGATATGGTCCTGCTATAGACTGACTGAATTATGTCCCCCATATAATGAATGATTCATATAATGAAGCCCTAACCCCCAATGTGACTGTATTTGGAGATAGGGTCTTTAGAAGGTAATTAAGATTAAATAAAGTTGTAAGGGTTGGTCTCTGATCCAATATGATGGTGGTCTTACAAAGTGAGGAAGAAAGAGATCTCTTTCACCCTCTCTCCATCATGTAAGGACATAGCAAGAAGGCAGCCATTTATAAGACAGAAAGGGAGCCCTCCCAGAAACCAAATAGGCCAGCCCCTTGATCTTGGAATTCCTATCTCCAGAACTGTGGGAAAATAAATTTCTGTTGCTTAAGCCACCCAGTCTATAGTATTTTGTTGTGGAAGCCCAAGCATACTAATATAGGTCCCAATTACATAAAATTCTTAAACTGTGAAGTAAAGTGTTAAGGATCTGACAGTTGCCTAGAATTTTTTCTAATTATATATATATTTAGAAAAAAGTGTATGTGTGTATATATATATAAAAGTATACATATACACTTTTTATGTATAAAAATATATATATACATATACTTTCATACATATAAAACTACATACATACACATATATATACTTTCTCTGTGTGTCTGTGTGTATACACACACACACACACACACATATATATATGCATATACACTTCCTTTTTAGAAACAAGGTCTTGCTCTCTTGTCCAGGCTGGAATACAGTGGCATGATCATGACTCACTGCAGCCTCAACCTTCAGGGTTCAAGTGATCTTCCCATCTCAGTCTCCTGAGTGATTTGGACTACAGGCATGTACCACCATGCCTGGCTAATTTTTTACAATTTTTTTTTTTTTTTTTTTTTTTTTTTTTACAGATAGGGTCTCCCTGTGCTGCCCAGGCTGGTCTTGAACTCCTGGGCTCAAGTGATCCTCCTGCCTTGGCCTCCCAAAGTGCTGAGGTTACAGGTACAAGTCACTCTATTAGTTCTAATTAGTTTATTTTTACTTTATATAAGAGTAAATTGAGAAAGGAAAAATAATCTAAATATGATAAACACATTTATTCTATTCAGTCAATTTTTCCTGTTTTTGTTACTTCCTCACTAGTGTGAAAGAGGAAAAAAAGGAAAAAATTACTTTCATTGTTAAATTCATCAAATATTTGATGGTCTAGAAAAAAATTCTAAAATTCACATGGAACCAAAAAAGAGCCAAAGCAATCCTAAGCAAAATAAAACAAAAAATCAAAAACAAAAATCAAAGCTGGAGACATTGTATTACCTGACTTCAAAGTATACTACAAGGCTACAGTAAGTAAAACTGCATGGTACTGGTACAAAAACAGACAGATAGACCAATGGAACAGAATAGAGAATCCAGAAATAAAGTCACATACCTGCAGCCATTTGATCTTCAACAAAGTTGACAAAAATAAGCAGTGGGAAAAAAACTCCCTATTCAAAAAATGGTGCTGGGATAACTGGCTATCCATATGCAGAAGAATGAAACAGGATCCCCTACCTATCACCATATACAAAAGTTAACTCAAAAGATGGATGAAAGACTTAAATGTAAGACCTCAAACTATAAAAATCTTACAAGAAAACTTACGGAATACCCTTTCTGATATTGGCATTGGCAGGGAATTTATGGCTAAGTTCTTAAAAGCAATTGCAACAAAAACAAAAATTGACAAATGGAACCTAATTAAACTAAAGAACACACAGAAGCACAGCAAGAGAAACTATCAAGAGAGTAAACAGATAACCTACAGAATGGAAGAAAATATTCACAAACTTTACATCTGACAAAGGTTCAATATCTAGACTCTATTAAAGAACTTAAAGAGCAAAAAATTATTACTCCACTTAAAAGCAGGCAAAGGACATGAACAGACACTTCTCAAAAGAAGACCTACAAGTGGCCAACAGACACGAAAAAAATGCTCATCATCACTAATCATTAGAGAACTGCTAATCAAAACCGCAATAAGATACCATCTCACACTAGTCAGAATGGCTTTTCTTGTCTTTTTTTTTTTTTTTTTTGAGACGGAGTCTCACACTGTCACCAAGATTGGAGTGCAGTGGCGCAATGTGGGCTCACTGCAAGCTCCGCCTCCCAGGTTCACACCATTCTTCTGCCTCAGCCTCCTGAGTTGCTGGGACTAAAGGTGCGTGCTGCCACGCCCAGCTAATTTTTTGTATTTTTAGTAGAGACGGGGTTTCACCGTGTTAGCCAGGATGGTCTCAATTTCCTGACCTCATGATCTGCCCACCTCAGCCTCCCAAAGTGCTAGGATTACAGACATGAGCCACCGCGCCAGGCCCAGAATGGCTTTTCTTAAAAAGACAAAATATAACAGATCGTGGTGAGGCTAGGGAGAAAAGGGAACATTTACACGCTGCTGCTACTGCTGGTGAGACTGTAAGTTAGTTCAGCCACTGTGGAGAGCAGTTTAGAGATTTCTCAGAGAACTGAGAGTTGAATTACCATCTGACCCAGCAATCCCACTACTGGGTATATACCCAAAGGAAAATAAGTCATTCTACCAAAAAGACACATGCAGTTGTATGTTCATCGCAGCACTATTCACAACAGCAAAGACATGGAATCAACCTAGATGCCCATCAATAGTGGACTTGATAAAGAAAATATGGTACATATACCCAATGGAATACTATGCAGCCATGTAAAAATAAAATCACATCCTTTGCAGCAACACAGATGCAGCTGGAAAGCATTATCCTAAGCAAACTAATACAGAAACAGAAAACCAAATACCATATGTTCTCACAAGTGGAAGGTAAACCTTGGGTACTCATGGTCATAAAAATGGTAATAATAGACACTGAGGAATATAAGATGGGGGAGGGTGGAAATGGGGTAAGGATTGAAAAAAAACCCTACCTATTGGGTATTATGATCACCACCTGGAGGACAGATTCATTCATACTCTAAACCTCAGTATCATACAATATACCTATGTAACAAGCCTGTACATGTACCCCTGATTCTAAAATGAAAGTTGGGGAAAAAAGAGAAACCCAACAGGTAATATTTTGTAAGCACTGTAAAATGACAGTAAAAATGTCAGTGAAAGTGAAATCAACAAGGAATATCTAGCCACATACAAATTTTATTTAAAATCAATTTTAATAACAGTTCAAATGAAGAATATTTTACAAAAATCAGTGAAGTACTTAAGAGAAAGCCTTGTGATTGGAGTCAAAGGATTTGAATTTATTGAACTGCTACCAATACTAACTTAAGTTGTAGAAAAACATCAAATCTGGCCTTGTCCAGTACTATTCACTAAAGTAAAAGGTTATCATTTCAAAAATATGTTCAAAACATAAAAATGCTTTTAAATATTAATAAAATAATTACATTCTAAAAAATATATTTGTTGGGTGCATACTACATGCCAGGCTCTATTTCAGTACTGGGGATACAACAGTAAACAACATGAAGTCTCTGCTTCTGTGACAGCAATCACTAATGTCAAAGAAACCACTGGGTTATGAACTATTTCAGATCCAACAATAGAGCACTATATTAAAACACTGACATTTATTTCCTCCTACTTATTTCAAATATTTTAAATGACTCTCTAGCTGGTTTTTATATCCCTTTTGTTTATTGCTGTACTTTGTTTCTTTGGTTGTATTTTTGAAACTCAGCCTTCATAGAACAGAGGCAAACTCTAGTAATATTTATTTCAAGACATCAGCTGATCTCTCCTCTAGAAATTTAGAGTGGGGCCATATCCCCATTTTAACAGGAGCTTTAGACTTAACTCTTGGCTGGCTCATGTGTTACACAGTTTTATGAAAAAAGGATTAGAGGTTGGGCAAGAAAGAGACCATGTTTTTGGCAAGCAGAAAGTCTTATGGTTTCAAGCATCAGATCATGTTAGATAAGCTTTGGTAAATCAGCACTTCTGGGATGGTTATCAAACTATTACATTATTTCAAGATGCTAAAGATGTTAAGATGCTCATGATCCTAAGAGTTAAACAGAGTGCTTTGACGAGATTGTGTTGCTAAAGATCATGCAAAAAGGTAATAATCCCAAATAAATATATCAACATATATTTTCTTTTATTGTAAAGGCTAGCTATTTCAACAAAATTAACTATAGTGGGATTGCTTATATAAAATGAAGATTCATAGGCTCCATCCTAGACCTACTTGATCACAGTCTCAAGGGAGTGGGTGATTTCTATGCAATCTAAAGCTTAAGACCTATGAATTTATTAAATGTGATTGTTAGAAATGTTTTGTACATTTTACAATAGTACACTTTAAACAATTTCCACCACTTTCTTTTATCTCTCTTTTTTTCTGTTTATTTCTCTCTGAATTATTTCATAATTTCCTCTACCTTCTCAAATATTCTTTTTCTGTTAACTTATATACTTGATCCCAACCCTGGCCATGATCTTATTCTAGTGTTTTTTGGTATAGAAACTCTGGGAACTGGGTGGAGCCCACTGCAGCTCAAGGAGGCCTGCCTACCTGCCTCTGTAGACTCCATCTCTGGGGACAGGGCATAGCCAAACAAAAGCAGCAGAAACCTCTGCAGATTTAAATGTCCCTGTCTGACAGCTTTGAAGAGAGTAGTGGTTCTCCCAACATGGAGTTTGAGATCTGAAATGGACAGACTGCCTCCTCAAGTGGGTCCCTGACCCCCGAGTAGCCTAACCGGGAGGCACCCCTCCCCCTGTAGGGGTACACGGACACCTCACACGGCCGGGTACCCCTCTGAGTTGAAGCTTCCAGTCGAAGCTTCAGGCAGGAACATTTGCTGTTCAGCAATATTCACTCTTCTGCAGCCTCCACTGCTGATACCCAGGCAAATAGGGTCTGGAGTGGACCTCCAGCAAATTCCAACAGACCTGCAGCTGAGGGTCCTGACTGTTAGAAGGAGAACTAACAAACAGAAAGGACATCCACACCAAAACCCCATCTGTACGT